CAAACTTACTATTTAACAAAATAGTAAATTATATTATATTATCTATGAAATATGGATAAATAGATTGCAAAATCATGCTTTATTTAAAAAAAAATGAGTTGTACAGGTTATGACATGTATAGAAAATATGTTTTTTTGTATGATATAAAATATCTTTTTTAATGAAAGTATATTATGAAAAGTATTTGTCAGATTCTTTATATTCATTATATCAAATTATGCAATCACACATGACTGTTTTTTTTATGTGAGTTTATAATTAAATATTATTAAATGTTAATATTTCAATATGTGTGATTGAAGAACGTGACATAATAGATATAAAAAATTTGATATCAGTATTGATTATAGTATATTAGGAAAAATCGCATTAGGGTCCTAAGGAAGAGAAAATACAGCAAAAAGGTCCCTACAAATTTAGTAATTGCTTAGAAGTCCTAATGGAACCTGATTGCAATAATGAAAAAGGTGAATAGACGCATTTGCCCACGGAATTTAGACAGAATAATGATGAAGATAAACAGGCAAAACTGATTTCTTGCATCTTTGAGCTCCTAAGCATGAGAAAGAATAGATTGACAACAAAGCAATTAAAGTCCAAGCGCCTTTCGTCTTCATCGTCTCGTCTAATTTCAAGGTTCAAGGCTTTCTTTCCTCTCTTCTCTAAGAAGATTTTGGTCAAAAGATTGGATTTGGGATATGGGTATGTATAAAGTCGTTCTGCTATTTAATAGTTGCAAAGCTTTTGTTTTAGATCCACTATGAACAAATTAAGCAATGCAAAGCTTGTGTTTTTGATTTGGTGTGTATTGATGATTTAAGTTGGAGTTTCATTATGGGTGAGTAGATTGATGATGGGTGCTTTGTTTTTAGGTATATTATGGGTGGATTGATGGTGAGTTTTCTCTATTTGGGTATGATTTAGTAGGAATGAATGAAAAAGATGAAGGTTGGTGTAGGTAGAAACCTTTGTTACGAAATAGGAGAGTGTGCCGTTAATGTAGGCTATGATAGTTGTCAATGTAGGCCACAATAATTGTCAATGTTGCTGTCTGATTTGTTAATGATAACTATCATGCAGGTTTTCAAGGACCAATTAGAAAGAATCTCAATTCCAAAATAAGAAGGTTTACCATTATGAGAAACGCAATGAGATTGGACATATTGCCAAAACATGCAAGAAGCCAAATTCAGCTGAAAACATATTGTGAAAACCTATTTTTTGTAAATAGATGTAAAGAAATTTTTTTGTAGATGAGATAGTACACAACAATAGTTAGTTTGATATTAGATACACGTAACCCATATGTTTTTTCTTTTTTGGATGGGTTGTGTGAAATTAGTATAATTACATGTACGTGAAGCTATGGAATGATAATTGGCTATGAGATGATATGTTGAATTCTGATGTATAATTAGTTGTAATTATATGCACCCTTCGTTGTCAATAAACCTTTCATCACTTGTCACTCGTGACAACATCACTTGTCAACTTATTTACTGATATAAATTTAAAAGAAAAATGATTTAAAATACATAATGTCATATAAAATTATTTAGAATGATAACTCATCTTACTTTTGACATCTTATTCTTTTATTTTTTGGAATATCACTCTAACTCATAATGAGTTAAAGTTATTCTTTTATTCTTTGAAATATTAGTCTAACTCATAATGAGTGAGAGTGATGCAATTAGAAGTAAGCTCTTGAAAAAGGCAAGCTCAAATTGAAAATGCATTTGATACTGTTTTATTGTATTGTATTCATATATAACATATTTTCATGTTGTTTGGTTATTTTTAAAAAAATAGAGAATAATTTTAAAAATGACATTTATTAGCAGGAAATTTAACAAGTTACAATGTCCTTATTAACAAATCAGGGTGTAAATACTAATAACTGATACAAGGAACATTGACAACAACGGTGTTGTTCATTTAAAATTTGCAATTCATTTATATTTAACTTAAAATATAAATATTATATCATATTATATCACATTAATTATAACCAAAATGCATTATTAAAATTTATGTTAATTAAATGATTTTTTTTTCAAAACTTATAGATTCATATAAGCATATAAATTGATAAGAGACTGTGCCACTATTGACAAGTTACTGTGTCACCATTTGACAAGTGAAGGTATGGCCAATGACAAGTGGTTTTATGAATTCATATTAGTGATAATAACTATTAATAATGATTTTAGATTACATTATAACCAACCTTATATCAACAGATAAATTGACAAGTGATAGTGTCACCATTGATAAGTCACACTACTACCATTAACAAATGAAGATGTGGTTAATGACAAGTGATTTTATAATTTCATATCAATAATAATAAGTTTGTTAATGATTTTAGATCACATTATAATCAATATGTATCAATGCAGAGGATTTGATGATATCAAATTATGTTATATGGCATTATGTAGCTTGAAATCATATTTTTTCTAAATTCATATCAACAAATAAATTGGCAATTGACTGTACAACCACTAACAAGTCACATTGTGACCAATTACAAATGAAGATACTGTTAATAACAAGTAATTTCATAATTTCACATTAGTAATAATTGACTTTTAATAACAATATTATATCATATTATCATCAAAAAGTATTTGTCCATTTATTAAAGAAAAAGTATTAGTTTACAAGATATGTGCACATTATATGATATTATGTATCTTTAAATAAATTTTTTCCAAACTTATATTAGCAGATGAATTAACAAATGATACTGCCATGAGTGACAAGTGATGAAAGGTCTATTGGCAACATAAGGTGCAGATAATTACAATTAACTACATATCAGAATTCAACATATCATTTTATGGTCAACTATCGTTCCAAAGCTTCACATAAATATAATTATATCAATTTCACAACTCATCCAAAAAAAAAACACGGGTTACATGTATCTAATACGAACTAATTGTTGATGTATACTATCTCATCTACAAAAAATTTTCTTCACATCCATTTACAAAAATAGGTTTCTACAATATGTTCACAGTTAGGATTTGGTTGTTGCATGTCTTAGCAGTATGTCCAACCTCATTACATCTCCCATAATAATAAACCTCTTGTTTTGGAGCTGAGATTGTCTCCTATTGGTCCTTAAAAATTGCATGACAGCTGTCATTAACAAGTCAAGCAGCAATATTGACAATTATCGCGGCCTACATTGACAACACACTCTCTATTTCACAGTAAGAGTTTCTATCTACACCAACCTTCATCTTTTTCATCCATTCCCACTAAATCATGCCCAAACAAAGCAAGCCCACCATCAACCCACCCACAATATATTTAAAAACAGAGCAACCATCATTAATCTACCCACCCACAATGAAACCCTAACTTAAATCATCAATACACACCAAATCAAAAACACAAGCTTTGCATTGCTTAATTTATTCATAGTGGACTAAAAACAAAAGCTTTGCATCGCAGAACGATTTTATACATACCCATACCCAAACCCAATCTGTCAACCAAAACTTTCTAGGAGATGAGAAGGAAGAAAGTTTTAAACCTCAAAATGGGCCGGGACGATGAAGACAGAAGGCACTTGGATTTTAGTTGCTTTGTTGCCAATCTCTTCGTTCTTATACTTAGGAACTCAAAGATGCAAGAAATCAATTCTGGCTGTTTCTCTTCATTGTTTTTCTGTCTGAATTCCATGAGCAAATGGGTTTATTCATCTTTTTCATTACTGCAATCAGGTTCTATTGGGACTTCTAGGAAATTACTAAATTTCTAGGGATTTTTTTTGCTGTATTTTTTTTCTGAGACCCTAATGCAATTTTCGTAGTATATTATTATATAAAGATATATTGATATTGTTAGCAAAACTAACAGCTCCCAAACTAAACATTTAATACAACGTGGGATCAGGTCTGACAAAAATGATGGCGCATGTCATATGAGGTCAAGCTCATAATGAATTCATAAATTTTAATGAGCTCTTAGCTTCCATGGACCATCAAAGGGCTGGTGGTGGCACATGGTCACATACATATCTGACTGAGTTCTCAAAAAACTGACTGAAACAGACACGTGAAAATTACACAGAAAAATACCTTTGATTGCACTAAGGCCCACATTAAGAAGGATGTATACCAATTTTGTGGGGCAGCAGTTGCACAGTGCAATAATAAAGTGAAAAAAAAGCCGCATATGCTATATTACTGGCGATTTTCACTATGCTTGCTATGCATTGATCCTTACAATTTGATTAAATTTTGATTTTTATCCATATAGTTTTATAAGGACTTGATCGTCCGAATTTAAGTATAGGAACCAAGATCAAAACTCATTAATAGTATAGGGATCATCGGTTAAATTTACACTGAGTTCTTATTATAGGAATCAAAACTAACGATTTAAAACCATGAGGACAAAAAAAGAATTAAGGGATATTAACCCTACAATTAAACACAGATTTGGATATAAATAAAGCTTGGATATACCATAATTAAGCTCTCTAGCTAATAGCCATTATATCCCATTAGCTCGTTATATTGATCCTTGCACATAAAGTTGACAAGTTTATTAATGAATCAATGAACGTGGGGTATTTCATTTAGCTTATTTTAGGTGATTTTACGTTATATGCAGCAAATACGTTAGAAGCGTTGTTGCCAAAAGATGCTATACAGTGGGATCATATATTTTGGAACTCACGAACCATTATCTATTTTAATAGAAAAACATGCAAATCGATCACAGCATCGTTCATTTGAAGTGGAGCTTGCAAGAAATACATGTCAAATGAGAAAATTAAAGAACGAACAAGACATCAGAAGCAGAAAAAGGACACTTAACAATAATAATAATCAAGAAGAGACCAAATTCTGAATGATGAATCAAATTCAAAATTAGATAGAGACTAATAATCATTGGGGGGAGCTAGGATGGCATGCACGCACGTGCATGTAGCTAGCGTAGGTCATCGTCATCGTCAGCCAAGGTAGAGGTGGACCTTAAGAGCGAGCAAGAAAACGCAGATGAAGGCAAAGTAAAGGAGAGAGTGAATGAGTATGGCGGCGCCGCTGGTCTGAAAGTTGCCGAACTCGACGCACCTCGACCGGCCGGGAAGCTGAAACAGAAGTCCCGGCGTCAACAGGATGAACAGAACCATGGACACGAACACTGGGCCCCAGTCCGACATCCTTAATCTCAGTTCCTCGGGGATATTACCCTCACACACGACGATGAATAATGTTGTAATGAAGTGACCACTCTGCTGGGTAGCTACAAGGAGTTCGCTGATATATATACACACCCACACGTCAGGGCAGGGCACCACCGGGCACCTTGCTCCGGCAGCCGCCACGTGATGGAAGAAGAATAACTTGCTTCTTAATTATGTGACGTCCAAGAAAGGAATTACTGCTCGCTGCTTGTTCTCCTATCAGGCAAGTTTTGGATGGATGTTATCTGTAACTGCTTGCCTTATTACAGAGCTATAATAATAAATTAATCAACATATCACATGCTTCATCAGAGGTCGGCAATACACACACACACACACATTCTATGTTTTTTATGTTCTGTTTGAAGTCCAACCAGTTTGATCATTCATCACCGCATTTCCCTCTGGGGATGGATCTGGCGAATCAAACTTCAAAATTCAAATAACTACTACTTGGAGCTAAATAACTAATTTAGAAGAAATTAAATAAATTCACTTAGTTATTTATTATAAAAACATGTGTTGAAAGTTATACTCCTTATTAAATAAATTCTCTATACTCATTTAATCATTTGTTATGAAAATTATTCCACATAAAAACACGTCTTTATTAATATATACAATTAATAGGGATAGTTTAATTATAAATTATTGGAAAATTTGGGGAAAGGTTTCTCTTTGAAAATTTTATTGGTTAAAAGGATATGATAAATTTTTATAAACAAAACACTGATACTCAGACAAATTTTGTAAGTTCTAGGACTCTAATTTATGTCCTTCTCTCGACAATATAAAATTTTCAATGTAGGAGTGTGCCCCGCGTTTTCTTAAACTTGAGAGATAAAATAAATCAAGGAACAAAGAAATCGGATCCGAACTAAATCTGTAAAGATAATGGTTTAAGAGTTAGTGAGTCAGATCGAGGTCAAATCATGATCAAACCAATCATATTAAAATAACAAAATTTAATTGAAAATAACAAGATATAATAACATTAATAATTACTAATAACAAAATACAAGAAAATACAATAATAGTTTGATTGTAATAATAACGTTAATAACTAAAATTAATAATCATTAATACCAAAAGCATCATTATAATTTATTCAAATCTATAGTGATTGAAATAATGAGAAAAAATAGGACCAATAACAATTTAATGATCCAAACTGGTTCATTACCAATTCATCCCGATTTATCTGGTTTGATACCAGTTCACTGGTTTTCTGATTGAATTAGCCAGTTTAGTCTGATTTTTTCCTTTTGAAATAAATTGAAGTGTTATATTTATGGTTAAAGCAAATTTCTTGATTAACTCGTACTCTCGTGGATTTAAAATGAAAGGCAATAATAATTTGCACAAAGGAGGCGGTGTATCTGTATCATTAGTTCAAGGACATGGACTCCACGTGTAACTGAACTGTCAAGGAATCTGAGCCCCCTAAGTTTGCTTGCTTTGAAAATTTCTAATTATAGTAAACAACACCATCTCAAAAAAACTTTAACTCTAGTATATTCAATAATTAATATAAGAGTTAAATAATTAATTTGAAGATATTAAAAAAATTAGTTAACTTCTTCATTTTAACAAATGTGTGTTGGTTTTCTTAAACCATAAGTTTAAAAGATAAAGTAAATTGAGGTCTTGTATTTAATATCAAATACGACTCTCAGATAGCTCTTATATACTATCTCCAATACTAAATATAGAAGTTAGTTAGAATTTAATTTGGTCATAAATATAAGACCCCGATCCACTTTGTCTATCATATTTATTTATTTTTTTAAAGCAGTTCCCATGGTGATCACACCTATTAAAAGATTTTTATTCTAATGCATATGATTAATAATAGTATTTTAGAAAAGATTAACACTCATGTATTACAGAAAACTAGTTAATTTTCTAAATATTTACAAATTAGTTATATGACTTTTATACTAAGGATTGGAGGTAGTATTAAGGATGAGAGCTATTACTACTTTATTAGGTGTTTGTTTAATTTGGGATTATGATTGGGATTCCAAAAGCACTTATTCATGCTATTTGAAACAAAATTTCTCTTATATACCTACCATGTATTATGTAAATCACAATTAAAAAACTACTTTTAGTATCATTCCAAACAAGCCATAAATAGGTTTTATTTTATTAGGTAAGTATACACTAAATCTAATTCTTAATATAAGAGTCAACTGACTAATTTAAAAAGATTAAGAAAGTTGTTAAATTATTTAATTATAACATATGTTATAAGACATCTCTAAAATATTTATGTGGATCGTTAGATTATATATCAATTTATAAATGAGGTAAATTAATTTAAAAAATAATAAATATAAATAGTTTAAAATAATTTAATAATTTTTATAATTTTTTTGAATTAATCAATTAAATCTTTATTAAAGATGGGAGACAGTAAACTGCATAATAATAAATAGCTCCAGAGATACGACTGAGAATAAGATGTTTTCTCGCAAGGCAAACGGAATTTGTAACCAACAAACACTACCAATTATCTTTGGAAGAATTATAATGAGGTCTCAAACAAAAAAAACAATTTAAAAAACAAATCTTAAAAGTTGTTATTCTCATTATAGAACTTATTATTATAAGCAGTTAAGATTGTTATTAAGATATTTTAATTTTTTTGTGAGACTTAATTGTAATTTTTTAATATTATTTTTAGGGGCCGCAGACTCTGCAATTATTGGGAGACTGCCACAAAAACGACAGTACGGTATGGGACAAGGCTTTTGACTGGGAATACGAAAATCAAAAAGGAAGACTGCTGAGCTTGGAGAGAGATAACGATACCTAGAAGAGAAGCAGACCTCGAAAAACTCAAAGAGAAGACTCGGAAATGCAAGGTAGATAAAAAATCACATTAAAAACTTAAAATTTGAAATAAATTAAATTAATATTAAAAATATATGAAATTGTTTTCAATCTAAACTTTCATACATCAAATTCTTTAGCAAAGGATGTGAAGCACGAGTGCCAAAATAGAAATGGATTATATTGATAAGTATTTATATTGAATTATTTATTATGTATAATTTTTGCTTTATTTGAAAGTAAATTAAAATCTACTGCTACTTATATTAAAATTAATTAATATGAAACAGATAATTTTATTTTAATTCTCTTCCCTAACCTGAAATTCAACTATTTAATCATTCTTTTTAAATTACCTAACAATTATATATTTTATGTTTTACACATATATTATTATATATGTATATAATACTATTTTTTATTTAATTATTATGTCACTGGTCTAATCAGACGGTCCAAACGATCTGACCATTTGAATCATAACCCGTTAGTCTTTCTGATTTGACACCCGATCTGGGTTTTAAAATATTGCTTTTGAATATATGTCCATGCATTGATCACCAACTTAGCTTGATATGAGTAATAGGAGCTCTTATTACCTAAGAAAATGATTAGGGGTTTTAATTCTAACCCTTTATGCATGCTTTTTCTTGGCCCAACCTAACCTTTGTGCATGTAAATATAATATCTTACCTTTTCCTATCCATTTTATAAGTTACAATAATTAAATATGTTAATTATAAATTCAGTTAAAACTAATTAAAAATAATAAATATATAAAATATATTTTTTTCTAAATATATTCTTATTTATAGAGTGTGTGAGTGAGAGGGAAAAAATCAATTAAAGATAAAAATTAAAAAAAATATCAAAATTTTAAACAATTTAAAATGTAACTTATTAAAAAAAATCAAACCTATTCAAAAAATTATAATTGAAAAAATCGCATGGAGTACTTGGGAATTATTTACCCGTTATTCTCAGTACTTTGAGAAAGATCAATATTTGCTATCCGCAAATATGGTTCCTCTGTCTTGACTCTCTCTTTCCCTCTCTCTCTTTATATATATATTGGCCATGCACATGTATTTTTCTATTAGAAACAATCTTGTTTAAGGTATTATCGAGTAATAAATGTTGACACTTCTCTCAATAAGAATTCGACCATTGGTTCGTCACATTATAAAGAACCAATCTCTTTTATTTATGGCACCTCTCCCAACTCCTAGTTCCTTTCTTTTCTCTTTTTATAATAAAAAGTTGAAGTGAGTTAGTTGAGTCCGGAGACTTGTTAGGATCTGGACATATGTCTAAACTCAAACAGTGTTTATAGAGGTGCTTATAAATCGTCTATCAATAACAAAATTTGAACTTGTGGTCTCATAGGTTATGCCACTCCCATTGGCTTCTATATGTGTATGTTCATCTAGGTTTTTTCCCGTGAGCAGAACCGCAACGTTAGAGCGTTTAGGTTTAATAGCGGCCCAGTGGGGGTTAGTGGGAAAAGAAAAGAAGAATCAAGGTGCAAAGACAATACGGTGTGGGCTTAATCACTGATCCTTCAAAGTATCTGTGAAGTCCAGTTCCCTTCTGAAGCTGACGCACTTCATCCTTATCCCTCCCGACAAAATATCATCACCGGGCGTTCCATGCTCCATCACTACCACGGTTAATTGAACCCATGCAAATTAAAAACAAAAAAACAAAAGAAAATAACCAAACAAACCGAAGAAAGAAAGGAAGAGAGTAATAATAGATCTTTATTCTCTTTTTGTTCAAATAATTGCACATGAATCAAATTTGAATCTGATGCCAATTTTAGGTGTCCATGTTTTATTGTATCCAAGAAAAATAATTTTTTTTTTTCAAAAAAGAAAGAGGCGTCTGGTTGATTTACTAGCTGATAGTATGTTGGGGTCAAGTTTGTAATTATATGGAGAATGCCAGGGTATTGAAAATCACACCAGTTATTGAATGATGGAGATAGTAATTCAAGAATTAATGATTAAAATTGATGTTAATCTAGAATCAAACCGGTCATGATTATAATAACATAATTTTGATTAAAATATAAAAATATCCACATACATATATAATACTAAAAAGAGTAATATTAAATAAAAAGATATTAATTTACAAATCAATAGAATATTTATATATAGATCACACATAATAAAAAATTAAAGTTATTAAAGTACAAATATGATAAACTACTTTTTTTTTTTCTAACTCAACATGACATCGTTTCAAGTTTAATAAGAAGAAAAAAATTTTAATTCAATTAATCCATTTAAATCTTTTAATTGGACTAGTCAAGAGAACGATTCATCCATCTATTGATTTGAACACCTTATTTTAATTCGTTTTTTTTTTTGAGCAAATATTTGGCTTCGGTTTTAATAATACCATCGAGAGTATAAATGGATGTCATTTTGCTGAAACAAATGGGTGATTAATTCAATAACAATTGTACCCCTCACTTTCTATATGTTTTATAGAAATGGGAAAAAAAACCTTTAGGCCATGTTTGGTACAAAGTATTAAAAATGAAGGATTGAGATTGAGATCACAATTAAAAAAAATCATTAAAATAGTACTCCTCCGGTCCTTAATATAGGATCCAATTCTTGAGTTGGTTTTGGTCCTAAATATAAGACCCCTTTCTTATGTTTATCAATTTTCTCTAAATTATCCCTATGAATACTCCCTCAACCATAATCAAGTAAAAGAGGGAGAGGGAGTATTAAGAAAGATGATTATGGTATTTTAGAAAAATATGTCACTTTTCTTATGATTAACTAACTTACCTAACTTCCTTAATCTAATCAAATTAGTTAAATGGGTCTTATATTAAGGACCGGAGGAATATTTAGTATGAGTAATTGCTTCTTATATGGTATTAGGCAAACCCATCGAGGTGGGATTAGAGAATACCACTTTCCCCTATGGTATTCTCCAATCCCATATACATGGGTTTGGCTAATCTCATATAACAAGCAATTACTCATACTAAATACTCTTTTAATAGATTTTCTCAATTGCAATCTCAATCACAATCTTTTATTTTTAATGCTTCCTACCATACGTAACATTAAAGTTCAATTTCATTGCAAAATTTAATAACTTTTCAATTTCATCTTATTTCTATTTAATAATACTTCTGATCTTTAATATAAGAGCTCATTTGACTTTTATTTTAGTCCTAAATATAAAACCCTAATTCACTTTATCTCTCATATTTATCTTTTTTTTTAAGGTAATCCTTGTAATAATAGTAATTTTAGCCAATTTACTTGATTAATAAGAATATTTTAGGAAAAATAATACCTATTTATTACAAATAATTAATTTAACTAATTTTTTTAATTTACTCAAATTAGTCAATTAGCTTTTATATTAAAGACTGAAAGTAGTATATACTCTATATTTTATGAAGTCGAAAGTACACCCTCTACAAAAAAGGAATGACGTAAATAATTTTGCATTCAATTACAAATAGAATGAAAAAAAAAAACACTCTTTTTACTTTATAAATAGATAGACTGGAGGAATATGCTTCTAACTTTATTGTCGCGTTAAGATTTTGGGTTAATTATTCTATAAGTTTTTGTAGTTTCAACTAATTTTAAATCAGATCCTTGTATATTTTTCTTTTTTTCCTTGTTATTTCACATATTTTTAATTAGGTCTTTGCATTTTTTTTATCAAGTTCTTATAATTTCATTCAATTTTTAACGAGGTCCATGTAGTTTTAATTTTATTTATTAATTAAATATATTAATAATAAAATTAAATTAATAATTATATAATAAAAATAAGTAATATAATTAATTAATTCAGGAAATTTTTTTAGAACAATTAATATTTTCTTGCTAAAAAAATAAAATTATTATAATAATTCATTATTTTGAGAATATTATTGTTTATAAACTAATATTAAATAATATATACTATTTTATGTTTATAGAATAGTATTATTAGAATTTATAAAATAAAGAATAAAAAATTCAGGGATTTAATTAAAAATAAGGGAAACTGATAAGGACCTGATAAAAAGAAAAATAAATATAAAAACCTAATTAAAATAGGTGAAAGTATAAGGACCTAATAAAAAGAAAAAAAAACTTTAGGGACCTAATTCAAAATTAGTTAAAACTATAAGGACTTGCAAATTAATTATCCCTAAGATTTTAAATAATTCTGCTTCAATAAGAAATCAAATTAATTATTACTGTTTATTGGCAAAAATTTTATTAGTGTTTATTAAATTATAAATTGTCCGTATTCCGTAGCACACGAATCTTGACTCTTGACTTGAGACGCCTTCACCCGCTATAAGCAATGAAACAACATGACACACGTGATTTATATGTTTATTTTTGTCCGCTTGACTAGTGTATGTATAAATATAAATATAGATATAAACATAAATCATCGAATTCCTACCATTTCACAGCCCAAAGAGAGGGGGTGAATCCACCAACGCCCTGACCGAGGTTGTCATGGGGGAAAGCATAATATTTTGAGACGTGGCACACTGTGATTGCTTGGCAAAAGGGGACCGGGAAAGGGCGACACACGGGAATCGTCCCCGGAATTCCTTCGACAGTGTCTTGACGGCAGTGATGATGCAATTACAAAACTACCCCTCCTGACATTTGCGATGTCAACGTCAACTCCAAGAAGGTCCATCCCCATTCCCCAACAACCACGAAATACCGAAGTAAACAAACACTCCCTTGAGAAAATTCCTTCAGCAAGCTTGGGCTTTTCATTTCACACACACACGACACATTTTTTCTTTGGCACGTTGTATAGACTGACGGGACCAACTTGGCTTTGCTACTTGCTTAAACAATGATGATGCTCAGATGGATTAAAAGATTAGACTGAATTGCGAGCTGAATCATTAGGTCAGCGAAAACTATTTAGATGTGATCGAACCTGCGCGATTTGTACCATAATTCCGTGTAATTTACTACCGCAAAGAAATTTCCCATCCAAAAGTATGCCCTCAAATTCCAGATAAATCGCCGTAATTTTTGTGCTTCAAATTGCGTAAATATTGATTATACGTTCGTAATCCATCCATCATTCTGGTTTCTTCAGAAATGTTGAGTCTACTATTCATGATTTTGGGCATTGACCATGGTTTGTTTACTTTCAGAGTTTAATTTAATTTAGTTTACTTACGTAATAATTCTATATAAATGTAGGAAAAATACTGGTGTGATTTTTTTATTATTAGTTATTTGACTTCGTTTTCGTTGATTTGAGGTATAGTTGACGTTTTTTGTGCCACTCAGTGTTTTTCACCTGCGTTTTTCCCGTTCGGTTTTTTCCTCTTCGTGAAAGAGGCCCAATTTGCAGCGCCAGGCGCCAGTCCCAGTTAAAATAAGTGGTCATTCTCCTGCTTCAGCGTCTTTGTTCTGCCTATTTCTGTGAGTCTTTAAAGTTGAAGTCGTTTCGAAGTGATTCACTGGAATTTCAGTTTCTTGATCCTTTGGGTCTTGTTGGCGCTGAATCAAAATTTTTTTTCCTCTGTCCTTTCTTCAGTGGTCGTTTCGTGCTGTGGAGCAAATCTCGAGCAGGCTTTTCGGTTCCGTACGAGGCGATTCTGGTCTTCGTCGGTTCAGTTGACTCGAATTGGAATGCTCTCTCTGCAATTTGACCAATTCTGGTTTTACTGAGATTGGATACCATGCAAACTGGTAAACATGTAGATCTCTTTACTTTTCGTTTATGCGTATGTATTTTACTGCTGGGGGCCGACGCCTTCGGCTTGCCGGTTTCCCTCTGTACTTGATCGTTATACTTCAGTTTGCTCTGTGTTTGAATTAACAAGGATCAAATTGACGGAAATTTCTTCCTTTGGTTTGAAATCTTAGTTCAAGACCTCAATGCTGAAAAGTAAAGGCTTCAGCACTAAAAATGATTGACTTTAACACCTAGACTGTATGAATTCGAGTGAAAGAGTGATTAACCATTTCAGCATTTGACGACCGCGCCACTTGTGACTTGTATGCATCTATATTATATCTCTTTGAGGCAAGTAAAGTGGGGACCGTGCTTTTTTTTTTTTTTTGGTTATAGAACTTTCCTGAAATTAATTATTGTAAACCATTAGGGACACGAACATCTATGTACACGATTTCCAAAGGCAAGTTTGCGTAATTGAGGGTTCAGTTTGTTTCGTTACTTTAGTCCTCTCCAAGACAGACTAATCGTTAGTTATGGAATCCTTGATGATCAGTACGAATATTAAAAGTTGACCTAAGTCTTTAGTGACTGCATATAGTGATCCGTGATGCAGTGAAAGGCCTCGGTCCTTTCCATCTCAGTAGATTCTTGGATAATAAGAAGGGGGGGGGGGGGGGAGAGACAGGGAGTGAGGGGCAAGTAATGATGAGAATTCAAAATTGGATGACTTACTATAATTTTTATCTCAGGTTACAATATTAATGATCTGTACCAAGAAGCTCAAAAGCGATGGCTGAAGCCTGCAGAGGTGATGTACATTTTACAGAATCATGAACAGTATCAGATTACTCAAGAGACCCCTCAACAGCCATCCAGTAACATTCATATTCTCTGTCTGATTGATAAAAATATGTGACATCCTTTACTATTTCTGATTGTAACTGGACTACACATTGCTGGTTGTCAATATAATCATAATCTGTTTCAACAGGTGGATCCTTGTTTCTGTTTAACAGAAGAGTTCTACGCTTTTTTCGAAAAGACGGTCATAATTGGCGGAAGAAAAGAGATGGAAGAACTGTGGGAGAAGCACATGAACGACTTAAGGTGCAGTCAGTGTGTCTGTGGTTTTATATTCATTATCCTTCCTAGGAAAAGAAAAGTTTATTTTGTTGTTTGTTCTTTAATGTGATGCTGTCTCTCTTTGTTTCCCTCCATGTATGTAATTGGGACGACTTGCTTAGGGCATATGATATGATATGTTTCATTTTGTTTGAAAAAGATCTCAAGTATATGTTGAAAGGAACGATTTCCAATGAAATTATTGATGCCCACAGTTTTCCTTTTTCATGCAAAAGAATCAGGTAGAACAATGTATGAAACCCTAGTCATAATTGAAATTGCTTAGGTCTTCGGGCTTTAGGGTTTTAATACACATTCAAGCTTTGACCTTTTTCTTCTCAACATTTCGAATTTTTGCTAGAGCCTGGCACTTAAGTGCGACGTTGATATCATATTGTTTTATTTAGTATTTACATAATTCCTTCTTTGTCAAGCATTTCTGTTTTCTCACTTTAAACCTAAGAAGCTACAAATTTCTTATGTGGTGAAGGTCTTATCGTAAAAATGCAATCCCAAACAGTGTCTATATGAATGAGAAGGAAAATTAAGTTGCACTCTAGTCTTGAAAATTATATGTTAGAAACCGTTGTGGATAACCCAAGCATGCTGACACAAGGTATTATATTCGAATTTATCTAGAGACCCCTATTGAAAGTTTTATCATTAACTTCTATTTCTTAACTCATCTCTGCATGACACAGACCTTACAATGCTTCAAAAAAAACAATTTGTCAATTGCTCTTAATGCATGATATTAATGATTCTCTATTTTGTAGTCATAGTGGAGATGATTGATCATTGTTTTTATTCCTGCTGTGCAAAAATGTTCAATCAAATTTTATTTAGATTTCCTCCATCTGAATGATCATTGGTAGGTTGGAAATGTTGAAGCCTTAAATTGTTATTATGCACACGGAGAGCAGAACCCCACTTTTCAGAGGCGAAGCTATTGGATGTTGGATCCGTGAGTACATTTTGTCTATTAGCTGTCTCATATACTTCATAATAAGCTACATCTTCTTCAAAGACATATGTACTTGCAACTTCTGGGAAAATTTTATTACTGAAGGTAGCTGTTAGAGCTGCCTCTGATGAATTCATGTTCAAACACAGTTAACTTTTAGTATAATTTGTAACTTTTACGATGCATTCTTTTTTATGTTACTGTGTTGTATGGTAACATTTGTTTGCGTATTATTGTTTCTTTACAGGGCTTATGAGCATATTGTTCTGGTACATTACAGAGAAACCAGTGAGGTGAGTCTTCTGATCATAATGTTCGGTTAGTTAAAATTAGCACTTTCAACCATTCAATCATGTGCAGTGTTTTGTTCTGTGATGTTTAATTGTACAATATTTTGCTTGTTTTGTGAAGTTTTAAACTTTGAATCATTTGCAGTTTTACCTAAGTAAAGCCCCTTGTATTTGTATTCTTTTTAACTTTCAGTAAATGACCTTTGCAAAAGTCTATGAACAGTTTATATACATATCTTTGAGCTCAGGATTTTTCAAGTTTTCTGTCTTTCCTTTACCATCATTATTACTGGCATTTTACAGCTGCAGTGTTTTGAATCTTATCTTTTACTGATACCATATCTTCCTTTTTCTAGTTCCAAAACCCTTTATTGAGTGTGTATGCATGCTTCCAGATAACGTCCAGTTAATGAACTGTGTGTGTTATATCAACTATCAACATTACTCAAAATTACTCAAATATATATATGTATAGAAAGTGAAAATGACTATGTTGTGAGATGAATGAAAGTCCTTATCCGGTACAATTCTTTCTTCTCCTTAAAACTTAGTTCAAATTCCATTTCTGAATACATACGTTTTTATGTTTTCTACTCATCTACGTTTGTTTTCCAACCATAAGTTTGCCTTCCCAAGTGCCTACTCCATTATTATGTTTATTTCTAAACTACTGCTGTTTTCCTTTTTTCTTGACATTAACTACACTTTATCCTGATAGTTTAAGACCCTAGTCTGTCCTGTTGTGAATGATTTTGGGCTTTATACATGACATGTTAAAGATATTTGTATAATTTGTTGTTGGGTTAAGGTGCACCTAACACTATGAACTATTTTTAAAAGTGCACCTGGCACCCTAAACTATTTAAAGGTGCAATTTTGCCCCTAATGTATCAATAGAGGAGCATTTATACCCCTTTACTAACGGAACCATAACTCTGTTTGATAGCCGAACATTTTTTTTTTTAATAATGACACAAACTGCCACCTGTGTATCATCAAAAGAAAAATCCATATGATCTGGATCCCAATCCATCTCATCTGAGTTAAACCAAAGCACTTAGAAACATGGAAGCAAATCATTACATTGCTGTCAACACCTCATTCAAACAAGCTAATCGCTACTTTGATTTCAAAGAGGGAAGAAAATCTCCGATAATGAAGAAATTAAAAAAAAAACTCATTCACTGTAGAAACAAACAGATAAAGATGGGATGACAGTATCAGATCAAGAATTGAAGTTACCCAATCGACACTCTATGTTTCAAATCTGGCAAATCCAAGAAACTAAATATTTTAGGTCCTTACATGTTTGATGAATACATAACTTGATATGGAAATGGAATGGCATAAGCACAGAGAACGAAAATCAAATTATAGATCTCATCGTTGCTATTCTTCAAATCACATACCCCACCAAACGTCGTCTGCTCCCCAGATCTCGGTCATTGCTGTTGTTCACCGGAGGTTGCTGTCGCTGTATGAAAGATGTCATTGGCGCCATCATTTGCTTGCATCAGGCCATTAGACAGAAGGTGGTCGTCACTCGATGAAGAAGGTCACTCTCACCACTGTTGTCGTTACTAGAGGAGGCCATTGTCACAGTTATTTACTGGGTCATCAGAGAAGATGCTGGAGACGGTAATGGGAAGGAGGGATCGCTTTTTGTGTTGAGGAGGGTTTAGCTTTTCATCTTCTTTTTTTTTAATACCCAGGTAGCTATTTTGGATATTACGTGTCTTTTAAGAGAAAAAAAATGCTTAGTTGTCAAATAGAGTTAGAGTTCTGTTAATAGAAGGTGAAATTGCTCCATTTTTAATAGATTAGGGGTATAGTTGCACTTTAGGGTACTGGATACACCTTCAAAAATAATTCAGGGTGTTAGGTGCACCTTTACCCTTTGTTGTTTGTTACTTAATATGTAGGGATGAAATTGAGGTATGGCTTATATTTTCGCGAGTCTTGATCCATTTGTATAATCACATGCACCATGTGCAAAGCAATGCAGTTGTGCATCCTAGCTTTGAATTTGATATTATCTTCACACTCGCATGTGTAGGGAAGGTCTAATTCTGGACCTGTCACACAACAGTCACCAGGCTCCTCATCTGCATTTATTCAGAGTCCTAGCTCATACGCTACCCAGAAGCTGGGGTCAACATCCACGTTTGGTGATTCATATGAACCTAATCAGAGTTTTTCCAGTCCTGGATCAGTAGAATTTACATCTGATACATTCATCAAGACTAATGGAAAAAATCACTCGGATGGAACAGAGGCGGAGTCAGGAAATTCACCTGAACTTGAGGTTACTCAGGCCTTGCGCCGACTGGAGGAGCAGTTGAGTTTGAATGAGGACATCTTCAAAGAAATTGATTCCTTCAGCAGTGAGCAGGAGAACACATATGATTCTAGTCCCCAACAAAATACAATGGCAATCAACAATCAAGATGTTACTGCAGCTTGGCCTGCACTGAGTGATCAAGGCCAATCTTATGATGGACATGGTGCCAGACAAGGTTATGTCGAGAGACTTGTGCTTCTGAGTTATGTTTTAATTTGGTCACTTAATAGGATTTGGATCTTTGAAAACGTGTTAAAAAAACCCCTTAAGATATAGAGATGCTGGCTATCATGGGCTCTGCTTGCCCTTTGGAGATGCCAACCATGACTCACTCCCTCTATTCTTAATTCCCTGACATGCTGACACTACCTGCCAAAGTTTCTCCTCAATCTATCCCCCGCTTCCAGGCTATTGCCCTGGCTTTATTGGGCCCAGCTTGCCCTTCTTTCTAGTGCAAGTTTCAAAGGGCCTGTCTTTCCTAGCATAACTTATATACCCTGCAGCCTTTTGTGTGCATCAAAGACAAGCGTTATTGTATGTGGGAGATTTTTCCTCTCAACATCCCCTCCACTGCTTCCCCTTATCCTATTTCCTTATTCGCTGGTGTGTTTTTTTAATGGGCCAAGACCCAATGGGTATGGACCCATCAATTTCACAACTTTGTTGTTTGTTTTCTACTCTCTTCATTATAATTAAATTTCACAGGACATGGAAGTAAAGCCAAATGGTAATTGGAAACATAGAAATGCATATCTCACTCATTAGACACCCCTTATACCCATGTCTTCCCCTATTCGTACTAAAACCTAATAAATAAACTCTTTACCCACTCTTAAACTTCACTTAACAAGAATGAGCGTATTTTCAAATGGATGACAGTGGTGAATATTTTCATGAAATTACCAGGCCATAATTGCTCTGATGGAATTGAGAAGACTTTATACTGGAAGGAGATGCTGGATTCATGCAAGCCCCTGTCCTCAGCCAATTTGCAGGAGAAACATGTGTACAGACCGGCTGGAAATGTTAGTATTGCTACGGCATATTTCATACAATATATTTTACAGCATACATTGGTTTGAATTCTATGTTTGCTCATATATTCGAACCTTGGTTTGTGGATTTATCTAAACAACTATACTTTTTATTTTCGGCTATGTTATCTCAATGGTGATTATTTTATTTTCCTTTTCTCTACTCACTAAGTAACAGTTTTATTAATGCTTAAAACAGGAAAACTCACTTTCTTCTTCGGGAAGGTTACCAATTGCCAACAAGGAAAGCAGTCACTGGATAAGCTTTGGCAGTAACAATGCTGAAAAATGTATGATTTATTGTGATTAGGTGCTGACAACTGTTTTTACTTGTTTGGAATTTCTTCCTAAGTTTGACTCCCCTCATCTTACCAGCTGCCTTTTCACTGACTCAAGACATTCATGGAGTGGGATTTTCTCCATATTCTTCTATAGAAACTCAAGAAGCTAATTTGGACTATGCATCATTTTTTGACCAAAACCAAGTTGAAGCTCCTCTGGATGTAGATTTAAGTTTGACTGTTGCACAAAAGCAGAAGTTCACAATTAAGGAAGTATCTCCAGGATGGGGTTATGCTAATGAAGCCACGAAGGTTTGTGCCATTCAATTTATGTCTTGTCGTGCTCTGTTTAATGATTTATGACTCTGTGCTCCAGGTTCTGTCATATTTCAAGCTATAAATAGTATTGTATTCCTTTCTGTGGGTAGTTGTGATTCTTGGAGTGTATCTTGGCTCTTCAATATTAAAGCTACTCTCCCCTCCCTTGAGAAATGTTGAAGTTACACATTTCTCCCCTCTACTATAAAAATATACAGAAACCTCCCTTGAAGCTATAAGATGACCAAAATATCCTCTGATGATATTTTATTTATTTTAGGAAAATTATTCTTTTTGTCCTTATAATTTTGGCTGTATTGTAACTTAATCCTAAACTTTAACTTGACACAATTCTGTCCCTATAATTTTGATTCAGTTGTTACTCAATCCCTCCACTGTGACTTGATGCAGCTCAAACCATTTAAAATATTAGTCCCTATATTTCAGAAAATAAAATTATATATTGCATGAAGCTTGGAAACTAAAGTTTTAAATAGTTAAAACTATATAGATTGAGTTGCAGTGAGTTAAAGTTCAGGGATCAGGTTTCAATTGAGCTAAAACTCTAGGGATCAAATTGCACCAAGTTAAAGTTAAAGTTATAATCGAGTGAAAACTATAGAAATCAAAAGATTGCTTTTTCCTTTATTTTATTAAAAATATCACCTACAATGCAATGATGTTATTTATTTTGTGCTCAAACGCCTGAGTTCTTTCATTCTAAAAGTTAAATGGTGATTATTTTATGTTGATCATATAAATATTTAATACCTGTTGTATCATATGAATAATAAATATTCGGGTGTTTCGGTCAGAATAGCTGTATTTGTGATTTATCTTCTGTTGCGGTGGAGACCTAGGTAGCTCATCATTTTATTCCAGGGGAGGGGAGTGTAATTTTCCACTGGTAAGAAACATGTAATTTGGGCATCTTTTATGGGAGGGGAGAGTACTTTGCCCTATAAATTCCTGAAGAGTGCAAAAAATGTGAATGCTTAACATAATTGAAGGCTTGAAATATGTCTGAAGCTGTTTTATAATGCAATTACATATATAGCCCAGTTCATATTAAATTAATAGTGAATATCATGCAAACTCTTTGCTTCTGCCATTTTTTGACATAAACAACAGAAGTGTGTCACTGTCTCTCTCCTTTTCAGCTCTCTTAATCCCTCAGATTATATGTGCTACTAATGTTGTCTAAATTAGAAATTTAAAGCCATTAGTTGTATACTCAGGTTATCATTGTGGGATCATTTCTTTGTCCTCCTACAAGTTCTACCTGGGCTTGCATGTTTGGTGATGTTGAAGTTCCTGTTGAAATAATTCAAGATGGTGTGATCCGTTGCGAAGCTCCATCTCACCTTCCTGGAAAGGTTACTCTATGCATTACTTCTGGGAATCGGGAGTCCTGCAGTGAAGTTCGTGAGTTTCAGTATCGCAGTAAGGATAGTTGCCCTCACTGCAATCCACTGGAAGCAGAATCCACTAGAAGTCCTGAAGAACTGTTATTACTTGTTAGATTTGCGCAGATAATTCTTGCTGATTCTTCTACGACGGAATCTGGAAATTATGAACTGGATAAACAGAAATTTGATGATGATTCGTGGAGCCATGTTATTGAGGCTCTTCTAGTTGGCAGTGGAACTTCATCTGGTACTGTTGATTGGCTTCTTGAAGAGCTTCTAAAGGATAAGCTGCTGTCGTGGCTTTCTTCCAGATCCCACAAAAGAAATGAAGAGACAGGCTCTTCTTTGTCCAAAAAGGAGCAGGGCATTATACACATGGCTGCTGGGTTGGGTTTTGAGTGGGCTTTGAATCCCATTCTCAGCTGTGGTGTGAACATAAATTTCCGTGACATCAGTGGATGGACTGCCCTACACTGGGCTGCACGCTTTGGGAGGTAATAAAAAGCTCTAGTGCTATCTTATTTATTTCAATTATTTTATTGAAGGGTTTTTTTTTGGGTGAACTAAAGGGGTTTTTTTTTTTTTGGGTGAACTAAGGGTGTTATTGTTGGTATAGAAGGATCATTCCTATTGAAGATTGGCAAAGCATATATTTTAGATTGCTGAGTAAACTATATTAATTAATATGAATCTGTACATTTCCCTTAGAAGGGCATATTTGAAGGAAAGAGAACAAACAAAATATAAATCTGTATATTTCCGTTAGGAGGGCATATTTGAAGGAAAGGGAACAAAAAAGGAGGACAAATTAACATGGAGCTCCAACTATTTCTTCCAGCCAAAGAAGTTTGCACATTGCTGAACGAACACATAATTATTATATCATCTCAAAACTTGATAATATACCCACGATGTTTATCTTAGTTGTCTGCCTTTCAAAACTTGATAATTTTCCTACGATGTTTATCTTAGTTGTCTGCCTTTCAAAACTTGTAATTTCCCTACGATGTTTATCCTAGTTGTCTGCCTAATTAGGACCTGTAATTAATGGACCAATTTATGGGTCTATCAATAACTAAGAATGATGGCTTTTCTTGCCTGACATTATTGGGCCAGCTTTATCAGGGAACATAGTATATAATTGTAATTGACTGAAGTAAATGAATGCTTTAATTCTAATAAAGAAAATTAACTGTATATCAAGATTAATCAAATTCTTGTTTCAATAGAAGCCACATCTGCATGTTAAGCCATAAATTTTATTTCTTACTTCTTGATAGGGAAAAAATGGTTGCTTCACTTATAGCCTCTGGTGCCTCTGCTGGAGCAGTGACAGATCCAACTGCCCAAGATCCAACCGGTAAAACAGCTGCTTCTATCGCAGCCAACAGTGGGCATAAGGGTCTGGCAGGTTATCTTTCTGAGGTATCTCTAACAAGCCACTTATCTTCCCTCACCCTGGAAGAAAGCGAGCTGTCTAAAGGTTCAGCTGAGCTTGAAGCAGAGTTAACTGTAAGTACTGTCTCCACGGAGCATCTAACAGCCAGTGAAGATCAGATTTCACTCAAACATACTTTGGCTGCTGTGCGTAATGCAGCTCAGGCAGCTGCACGTATACAGTCTGCTTTTCGTGCTCATTCCTTTAGGAAAAGGATAGAGAGGGAAGCTGCCATTTCTGCAGCAGGTATGGATCGATACGGTATCAGTGATAACATTCCAGAGCTTTCTGCCATGTCAAAACTTGCCTCTCATAATTCACGTGATTACCATTCAGCCGCCATATCAATTCAGAAGAAATATCGAGGATGGAAAGGCCGCAAAGATTTTCTAGCATTACGTAAGAAAGTAGTGAAGATACAGGTATCGGATTCTATTTTCACCGCACAAAATGAACTGAGAGCTATAGATGCGGATACCTGGATATTATGCTTAGTTGTGTAATTTTCTTTTCCAAAAATAGATAAAATGCTTGCTTTAACACATTAGAGACCCTGAGCAGTGTGCATGTCTGATGCATGCACATGCGCATGCTTTCACTGAACTACAAATATCTATATTAATAAGCCCAGTTATATCTTTATTTATTTTGTGCAGGCTCATGTAAGGGGTTACCAGGCTAGAAAGCACTACAAGATTATATGTTGGGTAGTTGGGTTCTTTGACAAGGCTGTGCTACGATGGAAGAGGAAAGGAGCTGGTTTACGAGGTTTTCGACAGGAGAGAAACTCAACTGATGAAAATGAAGATGAAGACATTCTCAAGGTGTTCCGAAAACAGAAAGTAGATGAAGCAGTTGAACAGGCTGTTTCACGGGTGTTGTCCATGGTTGATTCTCCAAATGCTCGTCAACAATATCATCGCATGCTTGAAAAGTTTCGTCAAGCTAAGGTATATTAAGCTAGAAGAAATCATTGAACATGGATCCTCTCTTTCACTTGACACATCTTGAGCATTTGTTTGTTCTACCTTGTGCATTTGGAATAGTTAATACATCAATGATGTAAATCGTCACAGAACTAACTGATCCAAGGTGTCTGCCCAATTGCTCCAAACAATTTCTAGGTGTTGCTAATGAAGCATGTGCAAGGCAATATTTACTATGATAGTTAGAAATGAGATAAAAATGACTTGATAAAAATTGGTCTAGTTTTTAAATGCTCTTTAAGCCATGACGTGTATCAGCAAAGAGCTACTTCTGCATTTGGCTGGCTTCACTATGCCACTATTTTGGACCCTGCAGAACTAGTTAATTGATCAAATTCCTTTGCAGGCTGAAGTCGGCAGCACAAGTCAAGGAGTACCGTTATCTTTTCTGCAGGAGGCTTCCAATATGGAAGATGATGACTTAAACCAGCTTCTCTAGATCCTAGAAGTATCTTCCTGACTCCGGTTGACTCTGGTTGATCAGTTTCTGGCTGCACCCTTTTTCCTCTCTGTTTTTGGTTTGATTGTGTATCTATATTTAGATGTGTAGAACAAGCTGAATCCTTTAGTTTGTAAAGCTAGCAAGTCTGTTTAGTGATGATCTTGAAGACGTTGCTTCTAAAGGGAATCCTTGTAAGTTAAATGTAATAATAATGGCTTTCAATGCTGGTAGCGTATGATTTTAATGGAGAGTAAATCTTCTTTCATATCCCTACTGTGTCAATGCGTCCTCCGTTGTTTTTACATGTTTCGGTCGCAGCCAATTTGTTCATCAGTATCGGCAGATACTTCCAGTCATTATCCACCATTTATTTTTTTAGTGCAATTTAATCCAATTCCAACGGACCTCCTAACGTCTGTTAAGAAAAAAAAAATTTATAAGTCCACATCAGCACAGCTAAGAGGATTAAAATTGACAGATAATATAAAGAAGAGAAAAAACAAACCAAGCTTGTGCGCCCATTCTGCAAGCACCAGAACCCCACCTGTTTTGTGCGATTGGGAACAATAGCATCTGGTGAAGGAGAAGCCAACAAATTCATGTAGGGAAAGTTGTCTTGATTTAAATAGATAACAACCTTACTTTTTGTTTTCCTTGTATGGTTCCACATTTGAAATCGGGTTTGCTGAAAAGGGTTTTATAATCAGAAAATGACCAGTTCTCGAATATGTGTTCAAGAAGACCAGTTCTCAAATATGTATTTGAGAAGACCAGCTCTCTAATATATATATATATATATATATTCAAGAATTGGAGCCCATTCTCGATGTTTGGCTAACCGGCTCTAATGCTTGCTAAGGTCGATTTTACCTTAGCAATGGAGATTTTTTATTCACCGTCTTCCTCGTGATCTTTGCTGCTGGAATTTGCAATTCGTTTAGGGTTCCAATACTTGCAAAATCAAATTGCTCCTCTAAAACAAATGAGACAGAGTATGAAGGAAAACAAAAGTAAAATTTCAAAGTAAGATTATTACCTTTCTAAATCAAGACAACTTTCCTTGCACGAATTTGTTGCCTTCTCCTTCATCAAATACTAGTGTTCCCAATCGCACAAACAAGTGGGGTTCCGGTGCTTGCAGAGTGGGCGAACAAGCTCAGTTTGTTTTTTCCCTTCTTTGTATTATCTGTCAATTTTAATCCTCTTAGCCGTGCTGATGTGGACTTATTAAAAAAAAAATTCTTAATCGATGTTAAGGGGTCCATTGGAATTGGGTTGGATTGCACTAAAAAAAATAGATGGTGGGTAAAATTGCATTGAAAAAAAGATTAGGGTGGTGGGTGCTCCTAAAAAAAAGATTAATCAACTAGTTCTTATATTAAGGAGCGGAAGTAATACTAACAAAAGGCATGCAATTATAAAAACGATTAAACTGCAAATTCATATCCAAAGAACGTTGGACACCTGTAAGGTTTTTTGTAAATTCCTACGTTGGAGTTTGTCATTATATTGGTAAAGGGGCATGAGTAGATTAAAAAATTAATTTAGTTATTTGTAATAAATAAGTGTTGTCTTTTGTTAAAATATCCTTGCTAATAAAGTGTATGGACTAAAACTACCATTATTATAAGGATTAACTTGAAGAAAAATATATAAATATGAGAAACAAAATGAATTAGAGTCATATATGTAAGATCAAAATAAAAATCAAATAAACTTTTATATTAAGGGCATGAAGTGGTATATCATAATAATTCTCTCCTCCTCGCACACCATTTTTAAACCACAAGAAATATTTTTATATGGTCATGAATTATAGGGACGTAATTGATCCTGAACAAACAGCATGCACCGTATTGATAATTGAGCGAAAATTAGGCTAATATATAAAGAACTCCCTTGAATTTTAAGCTGATTGCACATATCTCCTTTGACATATTGAAGTTTAAAATTAACTCCCTTAACTTTTTGTTTTTTTACCCATGAGGCCCTGCTGTTAGTTTTCCGTCAACTTACTAACTGAGACTGCCACATCATATTATAGTGAGAATTATGTGGCATCACATGTGGCTAATAATTTTGCCAACTTGAAAGACTGGTCAAAATGTAATTTTATCTCTATGGTTTTTTAGTTCAAGCCCTAGAAAGCTTCACACGAAGTGATTCTGGGAAAGACGAAGTGATGAAAACCCAAGAGCTCGTGTTTGTAGTTTCTGCCCCTAATGCCAAGAATTCAAAATCCCGGATGTGCGAGGTTGTCTTAGAAAATGATGACCCACTGAAGAAAATGATCTCAAAATCATCAATACAAGAAGAAATTTCATCAACCATAAAAGTTGCAACGTGGCCACAATTATGGATGTGGAAAAGGGTAAACAAGAGAGAGAGAGATATTTGGTGTTTTTTAGAATCTAAGTAGTGATTTTTGGTGTTGTGCATTTGGTTTCATCTTTTATGGAGAGGAGATACTCTGAGAAATTTGCAAACCTAGAAATGAAGTTGATGACTAATGCAACAAGAAGATTATAAGGTACTCACTTTGGAATTGTTCATGTCATCAGAGGAAGAAATCACAAACTTTGCTTCTTGGTCTTCGATTCCTCTGTCTTCTCCTAAATCACTGCGTCTTTCCGCAGCTAAAATATAAACAATCACAAAAACAAGAAGGATAGAATTACATTTTAGTCATTGGATATATAATTTTATTTCATGTTAAATGCCACATAATCCTCACTAATATGGTGTGGCAATCTTAGTTAACAAATTAACGGAAAAACTAACGGCAGGGGCTTTATGGCTTAAAAATAAAAAGTTAAGGAGGTTAATTTTAAAGTTCAATATATTAAGGGAGTTGTGTGCAATCAACTTAAAGTTTAGGGGAGTTTTTTTATACTTTGGCCTTTATTTTTTTACTCCAAAACATATGAGAATTAAAATGAATGTACGAGCAGGAGTGTGTGTATTTATATGAAGACACACGTTTCATTTAAACTTTTAATCAAAGTTAATTAATTTTTGAACTTTTAATCAAATTATGGGATGGGGTGTTGTGTATGAATATATGAGCACTAGAAATTAATAGTTATAGAGCAATAATCAAAATTTAACTGCCACTACAAAAAAATATCAAATTAGCCACGAAATTTAATAATGGAATTTCCATCCCTAATCAAAGTTAGCGATAAATTAGTGACGGAATTTAGTTAGCGACAGAATTTTTTTCCATTACTAATTCCACCGACACTAAATAGTTAGTGACAGAATTCAAAATTCCGTCACTAATTAGTGACAGACTACTGAGAAATTAGTGATGGGAATTAGTGACGAAAAATTTATGTCACTAATCTATTGGTAATTAGTGACAAATATCCCACAAAAATTGTCACAAAATAGTGATAGATTTGTGATGGAAAATTCCATCACTAATCTGTTGCTAAATTTTTTTTATTTTGTAAATTTAAAATACCATATAGCAAGCATTGATTGCCGCCACGTGTCATGTTTGTGACTACCACCTCATCACCGACTGCCACCTCACATTCCCTTCTCTCTCTCATGCTGCCATGTCATCCCCTCATCCACATCATCACCATGTGTCCATCACTGTGAGCCGCCATGTCATCAATGACTGCCACCTCACCAACTCATCTCTCCCTCATGTTGCCACATTACCTCTTCGTCCACGTCATTACCACGTGTCCATCATTATGATCCACTATGTCATCATCGGCACCACCTCAACTCCTCCTCTCTCCCATTGTCCACGTCATCACCATGTGTCCATCATTATGAGCCGCCATGTCATCACCTTGCCCACGTCATTGCCACATGTCTATCATTATAAGTTAGCATGTCATCGTCTTGTCCACATCATCACCACGTCACAAATTGAACTAATTTGTGAAGGAGTGTGGGTTCAATCTTAAAACCTCTTGCACGCGTATTGAAACCTTTATTAGTTGAGTTGAGAAACACTTATGAAATTTTTATGCAAAAATAAATATATATATATAAAATATTTCTAATAACAAATACAAATATATATAATAAATATTATATACATAATATTTATTAATCGAATCAGCAAAATTCCATAAAAAAATTAACAGCTATGCTTATATTCGAATCAGCAAAATTCTTATCTGGAATTATATATATACAATTTAATTTAACTAAAAGTTATTTTCTGCATTTTATTAAAATAAAAAAATATGCTAAGAATTTGAATTCAATCTTGAAAAACAATGAACTTATTATATATGCGCACAGATCTCAGATGTTTACTTAGTATATATATCTTCACCAAATATCAAGGGTTGTAAAATAAATTACAGTATCCGATCATTTCCTATTTTTATATGGTCATGAATTATAGGGACGTAATTGATCCTGAACAAACAGCATGCACCGTATTGATAATTGAGCGAAAATTATGAACGAAGCTTATTCAAATTATTCCAATCAAGTTTATGCGGAATAAGTTTTTTTTTCCCCAATACATCTACCCAAAAAAAAATGACAGATTTGAGACTGATGGGAAGCAAAAAGGCATATTTGAAGAGCCTGCAGTTGCAATTGGCGGTGAGGATAGAAATGTGAGTTTGATATCCAAAAGAAGACGAAACTCTGGAAACGTCTCTATCCAGTCCATGGCGCAAAATCGGAAGCTTGAGCTGATCAACCACGCGATTCAATGTCTTTCAGAAGAGAAGAGGAATCAGTTTCTTGACGCCAAAGACGACGATGCTGAATACCAACTCGCTCTTTCGCGACTTCTCACTGAGGTAAGATTCTGGATTCGAGCACTGCTTGTAGTTCTTTCATCCATTAAAACAGAGCTCTATTATTTTAATTCCTTCCGGTGGTGATGATTATCATGCCGATCATAATCAGTTTGGTTTCAGTCCTCATTTGTGTTGTTCGGCCACCTCCGATTTATAGACTGAGCTCCAAAGTCTCTACGACATATTGCTGGTTTGGCTCTTGCCCAATTTTGATTGTTCAATGGCATAGAGCGCAGTTTTAGATTTCTGATCCCTAAGTCTGATTGTTATCAATATATCCTCTTCATTAATCGCAGGCTGTTTGGCGCAGATGCGTTTATAGAATTCCCCATATAAATGGTGTCCTCGCTTTCAATTTCATGATTGATTTCGTATACAACTGGAGATCTTTTCTCTTAAGCGCATGAAAGATAGTTAAAGATTTTTCAAGAACACTTCACTTTCTGTTATAATATTCAGACCCCATTAAAACATATGGAAAATGCTGTACAAATAAAAATGAAGTTTCTCCCTAAACAAGAATGAAATCACAATCAACTATGTGCGGAAACTATTTAAAGAAAAAAAATCATGAAATTCAAGAAAAATTGTATAGTAGCTCGAATATCTTCCCTTGCCGAGAAATTCTTTGATTTGTGTTCAATCATGTTTATGCTCTGCTGTTTCATTGTGCTTGTCACTTGTTCAAAATAATGCTCCTTATCAATTTCCCTGCGAATTGGCCAAAGATTGGTGAAATTGGACGGAGATAGTGTACAGGCTTCTGAATGCTTGATGAGCTTTGTTCGGTCCATTAGTATTTTGCCTTTCCATCCATGCATATGATGGTTCTTGAATTCTTGTATAGTTCGCTCTTCATTCCTGGTGCAGTGTTTTGAATAAAATGGTGATTCATATGATGGCTAAATGGTTTGGAGATTGATGCACGCTACTGAACATGAAGAGACAACTGATATATACCCTTGCTCAAATAATTGACAGTTAGAAATGTCGAAAGGAGAAGGCGCGCTTGAGCAATCTGAAGCTTCTAGCCCCACAGAGATAGTACCTTCTGCAGCTGAAAAGGCAGAAAACAAGAATGTCAAAGTTGATGAAGTAGGTGAGAGATGTAGGGGAAATGATGATATAGTGAAAGAACTGAAGAATCTAAAAAGGCAGAATTTCATTACTCACTGTCTTCTTTCGGTCATGATTGTGCTCACTGTAACTTGGCAAATATCAGAGGCCTCTCTTGTTTTGAAAGTCAAAGATGGACTGAACCATCCATTTAGAGCCTTTGGAAGTTTGTTCACTGGGAAGTTTAAATTGCCAGATATGAATGGCCTACGTGCAGATGACAAAGATGACCAATCAGAATCTTCTGCTCTTCCCTCTCTCAAGATTCCAGATATGCCTCCCATGGATATTTCAAATTTAGGTTCCAATGATGAAGAATGAGACAAACCAGTTTTATTTTTTCTGGAAAACGTTGGAAAGATGAAAGTGGGACTAAATGGAGGGGACAAAAAATGACTAGTGGCTCTTCCTGTTCTCGCATGTCAATCAATTCAAGGAAAATTTTTCAAGTATTACGTGCATAAATGCAGACGATTGTTTCTTCGATTGTACTCATAAATTTGTGAAATGTAATGTTTTTCTCTGTTTGGTTGAACAATGGTGATGCGTGCAAACATTCGTTATAAATGGTAAATCCACTGTCTTTGGCATTGAACTTGTTGAAAAGGAGAAACTGCTATCAGGTATGGTTCGAAAGAGAAATCGAAACCCTTGTTATATGGATATGGAGATTCAACAAAGGTGAAAATAGAAATATGCATTAAATTCTTACCCTTCTTTTAAAAAAAAAAAAAAAAAATCACTAGCCATGTCCGACTTCAATTTAGGAAGAAATTATTGACAGTTCGACTTCGACCTTAACCGAACTTGGCATGTGGAAGATAAATGCACAACACATCATCTTGCTTGACCTTGGAACGCAACAGTTTAGAACATGTCATCATCATCACCATCATCATCTATTTTGAGGGAAAAATGTTTAGTACGAAAAAGCATGGAAGAAAGTGGTACAAAGAAACGAACAGACCAGAAAGCAAAAGCTGTAGCAGAAGAGAATAAAAGGACCACTAATGATGGCAAATCTCCCATATTCTTCGTCCGCAACATATGAAACAGTTCTGCACAGACAGTTTCAGGCATCATGACAGTATAATTGCAAAGCTTTTTTAACAGTGAGAGCTTCCAAGGCAAAAGCTGAGGTACAAGTGACCTTCCAAAAGCTAACAAGATAACCCATGTAACTTTTAACAACCATTCCAATACCAGCTTTACCAGAAGAGCCATTACAAGAACCATCAATTATAATCTTCAATTCACCTTCCGAAAGTCCTGCCAAACATGAGCTTCGTGACACTGTTCCTTTTTGTCGCGATTAATATTACTGCTCTTCCAGGATCAACTTTGTTACCGTTAAAAACACAAGCATGTCTCTCCTTCAAATTATCCAACCCATCCAAGCAATAAAGGCCCCGCGACCTTCATCTATCACATTATTGATTAGCACATTAGTGAGCCACTTTGCAACGCTGGCAATGGAGTATGTTCTGACATTTAGGAACAAAGGACTCATGCCATAGGGAAAACTGATACATCGCAAGCAAAGCACTGCCCTTGAGTAAGGAAATCAAGGTTTAATTGTAGCAATCAAGCAGAATGAAAACATCAATAACACCATATATAATTATAAACCAATTTGGTAGAGGCAGAATATTCCAATACTTTGGGTCCGGATCTCATATATGAGACAAGGAGATAAAAGATAAAAATATCAGGTACCAAGTATCTAGAACAATTTATCCTTAAAAATATTTTAACAAATCAAACAGAAATATCTAAATAGAACACAAGCGTTCAACACAAACAACCAAAAAAAGGACCCATTTCGATTTCAAGTGCCCAAGCTCCAAAGTGAAGCCTATCAGGCAAACTTCTTCAATGGCCTTTCAGGTCACATCGCACAGTCTACCTTCATGCGTAATTCAAACGGAATACGTCATTCAACACATAGTAGCTTCCCTGTGGGGTTGGTATCAAATGGAACATCTGAAAGCACAAGAGAAATTGGTCAATATAAATAAATACAGAAATTAAGGAACTAGCAAACAAGAAGAAAGACGAGAACAAGCCTGAAGGAGATACACGCTCTGGGACAATAAATATCTCTTAAGTTTAAATAAAATACCAACAAATCATATTTGAACTATTCAAAAAAGATTGGCTACTCATTGATATAGATAAAGAACTACACAAAAATTGATTATAACACAGCCAAAAGTTGTCACCATTTGCTATTAGTATTTAGCAGCACCAAATGGAGACTGAATGCAATACTTGCAGATGTGCTAGGCTGATATCCAGCACAAGAGCAAGTATCACATGATTCATCTAGAGAGGCAAAATATTTTGAGTCGAATTTAAAAAATACTTGAAACATTCTTAATGCAGGTCCCATTTCGGTTAAAGGACACACAAGTCACTTCAACATGATAGTACATGATTCATCTAGAGTTGGCATGATAATCCATTACTGAAAGATATGCATACATATATATAAATATATATATCAGACACATCGGTCACCAAAGTGCATGTAAACAAATAAATAGTAATACTAAATAACCTCTATTTGCACACTTCAGCCCCTCGATAGCCAACTCACTTTGTATATCCTCTCTCACAGTCTTCTTGGAGAAGTCTTCAGGTCCTCTCCCTGTTTCTTCTTCAATTTTTTCCCACCCTCTCTCCTTTAGTTCCTTCATCTCTTACTTCTTTAATGCCATGGCTCCATCTCCTATTTTCTTCTAAATTCCATCTATTCCCATCAGTTTATTTATTCTCATTACCCACATTTATTGGGATGCACCAGGATAAAAATTACTACCATGATAGAAATTTTATATTATCATTATCAAATATCATTAGTGACTAAAAAGAGAAAGAAATGAGAAAAGGGTTTCTAATAAGAGGGGCAAACTTAGAATATTAAAAAGCTAGTATGAATAGTTTAGTCAATATTAGACATAATATCCCCCCCAAAAAAAAAACCCCAAATTTGGAGGGGAGGAGAAAGAAGAGAGGGGAGCACTAAAAGACAAACTTCTTCCCTCCCCTCCCCTCCATTTTTCCCAACCAAACACACTTATCCCCTCCCCTCAACAACCCTCAAACCAAACAGAGCCTAAGGTGTACAGCCTGTTCTTTCGATATGTGTGGTTAATTTACTTGTCTTTTCTACAAATGTTGAATTACAAAATTATGTGCACCAAAGCAGCTGCGGTGTACTGTGCAGTGTGCACCAAAGCTTCTATCACAATAAGCCACGCTCCACTGACCACATACTATCCAATAACAATCCCACACATCATTAGTTCCATTCATAACAATTCTGAGAACAAAGGGAACAAGCAAACAAAAATGCAACAATAACTAAAAGCAATATATGGCCCCTGACGTATCCCACCAAAATCAAATGGCGTTATTAAACAACGAGTTTCAAATTATCTGAAAAACAAGGAGTAACACGTAACAACAGGGGAAGGAACTATACAAGTGAAAAATTTTAGATCTCAAACAGCATAAAGTAACCACAAGCAAAAACTGATCCAGAACTATAAGCCAGAAGTGTAGGACAGATTAATATGAAGGACTGGACAGTATGATTTAGGGTAGATCCAGTACAATTATCCAAAAGAGAGACTAAACTTATAAGTCGGGAAACACATATCGACAGTGATCAGGCACAGGCTACAAATTCATGAATCATCGTATCCAAAAAAAAAATCGAATCGGACCATTCAGGAACCGACCCAACCCGATCAAGTAGAAATGACAACAAAATGAAAAACCCTAACGGGAGAAATCTGAAACAAAGCGAGAAACAAACCTGGCTGAACTTAAGGGCGTGCTGTTCACCGGCAAGCTGGAGGTTACCGCTGACGAAGACAAGCATGCCGCCGTTGACGCCGGAGGGCTGGCAATCGACGGTGGTGATGCTGTGCTGGCACTGCTGGAAGGGGAGACTAGTGAGCTTGGCAACGATGTTCTGAGAGCCTTGGATCTTCTGGCCTTCGAAGGTCAACATAGAGCCATCCTGATAGAGATTGGCGAGGCCGGCACGGTTGGTGTCGAAGGTGGAGTAGTAGTGCTCCACGAATGCCTTGGCCAAAGCGTCTGGATCCATCTGACGATCACCGCCTCCACACTTCCCGTCCTGCGCTTAACGCTCACGCTATCTCCCAAATATGCCCCACTGCGATTATACTGCTCTCTCTATGCAAGGGGTGGGCGCCAGCGAGTACGACATGGGCATGAACTAGGGGTTTTTATATTCTTTAATCATTAATTAATTAATTAATTATAAAGTTAATCATTGCGATAATTTTAATTATAATATCGCCCTTATCGTGCTGTTATATTATGTATCGTCCTCATCAATCATCGTCAAAAAAGAGAAAAAACTGATGGCCCAAAAAAAAAAAGTGGGAAAAAATATTGTGACTCCTTTGGGGGCGGAAAAGAAAAGAGGCGAAAATAAAATCGAACTCGTCGACAGCAGGGTTCGAACCTGCGCGGGCGGAGCCCAACAGATTTCAAGTCTGTCTCCTTAACCACTCGGACATATCGACGGAGTGAGGCGAGTGGGACTCTATTAATACAAGACATATATTCAGTCTTTGGCCTTCCTCCATATATCCTTCGGGTTATGAAAAATGCGTTTCTTATGAAAATTTTTCATCATTTTTCATACGGGTTCAAGATGTAAGAAGGCCTTCGGTCAAAAAAAAAAAAGATGTAAGAAGGCCTCATTTATTTATTTTAACAAGTTTAAAATTTTAAAAAAGTACTCCTCTTACTCTTAATATAAGACCTATTTAACTAATTTCATTATATTAAAAAAATTAAATGTGTTAGTTAATTAGAAGAAATATAATATGTTTTTCTCTCCCTTATTTATTTGATTATGGTTGAAAGAGTTAAAGGCAATTTAGAAAAAATTGATAAATAGGACCAAAATCAACTCAATAATTAGGTTTTATTTTAAGGATTAGAGGAGTAGTTTTTAATTATTAAACCAGTATATTACGTAGTTAACGAGGAACAATAAATTGTCAGACAAAATTTATAAATAACTATTAGTCAAAACAAAATTTGTAAATGACAATTAGTCAAAAGGTGGCTTGAAGCCTATTAGTGTTTGGGCTCAAAACATGAGGTTAATAACCTACGTTTAGTCCCCACCTAGTTTGAATTCTTATTCTTATCCCTGATTTATTAGCTTTTCCTGTTTGAAATCTTTAGAATATCGACTCATTATTCTAATTCCGAGTGATCTTATCCGTTCCTTGTATCTATTTAAATAGCAGTATTCCATGATATATACTCCTTCGGTCCTAATTATAAGACCCAATTGACTTATTTGAGGAGATTAAGGAAGTAAGTTAAGTTGGTTATTTATAATAAATAACCAACTTAGAAATAAGTGTTGTCATTCCTAAAATATCCTTGCTAATTAAGTATATTGGCTAAAACTATCATTATTAGAAGGATTATCTTGGGAAAAAATGTATAAATATAAGAGACAAAATGGATTGGGGTCTTATAATTAGGACCAAATAAAAGTCATGGGGTCTTATAATAAGGACCGGAGGAGATAATCTTTACATCAAACAATTCTCATAATACCATAGCTTCAGTTCCATAAACATAATTCAGTTCAGTTTTAGCCTCAATACTACAGGGCCCTTAACACCGACGATTAAGGGAACTAGGGATTGATACCGAACACACCATTCGGCTTGATTGCTGCAACCCCATTTTCCATCACCATCCTAAATGAATAGGCAAAACTGCATTTAGTGGGCAACCAGCATTTGCTTATGTTATAGGAAAAGGCAAGTACAGCTACAGAAGTCAAATGTCACTAATACCGAATTTGCTAGTTGGGAGGCACAGGATTCGATGGTGCTGGTTGATCACCTCAATGACCACCGACATAAGCAGCCATTTTTCCTTCTTCTAACCGGCTCAACAGGCGTGGGAGGTAGCGAGAGGCATGTTCACCTCCATCAAAAAATAGAGCTACAGTTCTTGTAATGGAGTTTTCTTCATGATTTTAAGAAGAATAGTCTCTGTTATTCAATGCCACCCTAACTTGTTTGTTAAGTGACAGCAACTTTACATGTATAACAAGTATGCGTGGAGGTATCCTGGAGATGCAGCCATGGATGTGAAGAAAATAAAAGAAGAGAAAAGAATTTTAAGTTTCTCCTTGGTCTAGATGTTGCGTTCGAAGAAGTAAGAAAGAAAATATAAGTATGAATGATTTTCCACTTTCACGTGAAGTTTTCTTCATACTTGGGAATGAAGAAAGTCAAAGGAAGCTCACCTCCAGATCCTAGCGAAGTGCAACCCAATGCATTACTATCAAAAGGGATCACCCCAATTTCAAGACAAATCCAAGCAAAGCGAGTGGTGTGACCACTATTAGAAGGGCATATTTGACAAGTTCATTGAAAATTACATGGTGAACCTCCAAAAACGGGTAAGAAAGAGACCAGATTATACTAGGGAACTACTGAAGGCAAAAATGAAGCAGATTTGAACAAAGATGAGGTAGAATTGCTTAGAAAAACTCCGGAGAAACATGATTCCCAAGGGGAGACAATAGCTTTAGGTCATATTACCCCCACAAATAAAACAATCCTTGCTCTCAAAACTAATGTACATCACCATGTTCTGTGAATTGTTGATTATGGATCATATAACTAGTAATCAAGATTTACTTAAAAATAAGACGATGCACTATGAAGTTAGTCATTTATTAAAAAAAAAAGTTTTGATTTTTCTAAAGTATCTATTTAATTATTTTTCATTGGAAACTACCTCTTACGCTTTGTTTGATATGGGTTTTTTTTGAAAGGGAAGGAAGGGGAAGCCTCTCCTCTTCTTTGGCTGGTATATTTTTTAAGGAAGAGAAGGGAGTTGCTTCCTTCTCCTCATTTGGTTGAGATAATTTTTAAACAGGGAAGAGGTTCTCCTTCTCTTCTAGCCTCCCCTCCAAAAATATAATTTTTCAAGGAGAGATGAGAGATAAAATTTTATATTCCCAAATTAACCTGAATAAAATATTTTAATTCATCTCTTACCTTTTGGAGTTTTCAACCCTCTTATTTTTCTACGCCCTAATCTACTATGCCCACACCCCAAGAAGCTGCCGCGGCACAATTGAGTTTATCAATCGTCATCTTCTTCTAAGCTTCAAATAATAAATAGTCATAAATAATTTTTATTATAGCAAGTCAAAGTTGGTAAATTGTATTATACATATTTATATCTTGGCAAAATAGAAAAGTGAAAAAATTCATTTTAATTTTATAAGGTTAAAATAGTCAAATTTTGATTAGCTTTCCTCCCCTCCCCTTCCAAACCAAACAAGATATCATTAAAATTTCTCTCCTTCTCTCTCCTTTTTATTAAAATCCCTACCCTCCAACAACAGGGGTTAGGTCTAGCGGAAGAGGCTAGTCCCTCACAATGTGACGAACCAAGGTTCGAATCCCCGCTGGGAGAGATGCCCACATTTAGTGCCCGACAATGCTTCAAATAGGATTGCCTTCAATAAGAAGATACTTATGCTTTAGCCAAAAAAAAAAAAATCTCTACCCTCCTCTTTCTTTTCATCCCCTTCCCTTCATTAAAATCCCTCCCTTTTCTTTCCCTCCGTTGAGCCAAACACAGCATTAATGAATATTTTATAACATATGCAAGGAGACTTTGGAAAAAAAAATTATAAATTTGAGAGACAATATATCTTTTATATTTATAACTTTTAAAAAAACTTCTACTGGCTCATAAATAGGAACGGAGTCCAGAAGTGATATTTCTATAGCATCAATCAATATTCATTATAAAATATAAAATTTATAACAAACCATAATAATAAGTGATGCTGCGTATAATCAGTATCCGTTTGGATGACAACCCAGAATCAAGCTTAACAAGCGGATCAAGGTGCTGCTCAAAAAAAAAAAAAAGGCAGGCGGATCGAGGGTTTACTTTCATACCAATTTCGCGTAAAACCAGATCATTTTCATAGCTTTTTTCCCCTCATTCTCAATTTATTTCCCTCCATTTCCATCCAAACAAAAGCTTGGAAAAATAAAAAGTTATCACCCACGTTGATTACACGTAAAGATAAGTTAAAAGGGCTTTTCATTCACCTCAACTGTTTGCAACATGCCGTTGCTAGTGGCACGTGAAAATGAAATATACATAATAATAATGATGGTTGTCTGTACGGCATCTCCCTAAGCTTGTTGCTCATCAGAATGATACTGTTAGTCAAAAAGCAAGAGAACAAATTCAGAGGGATTTTGAAACTGAGAATTTACAGATTGACCCCAGAAAAGGTCGATTTACTCAACTAATATACAGCGAGGGATGGAAACTCCGGCTGTGTTAAGAGCAACTGAATAGAGTCATGATCATGAATCTTCCACTCCTCTGTTGATCAGAAGCTAATTGATCACTGCTAATAAATATACACATACATCAGAACTCCCAGGACAGAGACTCCCCAAAAGAACTGTCATTTTTTATTATGACACGCTCAAGATGTGACCCCCAGAACCTGTATTCCCCGGTATTTTACACCCGACCCGATTCCTCGATTCTCCGTGGACCTTGTGCTCAATGGAAGCACAAGGGAGAACCAACAGGTTTCCATACCACAACAACCACCAATTCAAACTCAATTTCAATCAATCAAACTTTGGCTCCTATGTACACTCCCTGCCACGAAGGAAAAAGCAAATTTTAAGCCATGAATCTTCATGCACATCAAAAAGACAATGGAACAGATGATTAAAAATGCAGGGCAGTCCATTCCACAGTTCAGGATTGTCACTCTTTTTTCCCACAAACAATCAATTGCTTCACCCTCTTTCCGTCAGTTTGCTTTCTTCAGTCTCTTGTGGAAGAAAACCATCAAACTTTCAATGTAGAGAACTATAGTTTTCATTGGCCATCATTGGGTAAATGGAGAACTTACTGTCAGGAAACTTCTGAAACTATTTACAGGCTTGTAAGTGTCCTGGAAAACAGGCAGCAATGCGTCCATTGCAAATCGTCTGATTTTCTGAATGTTATTCTCTCATGAAGTGGATTGGAAACACCGTGAAACTTCCCGATAAAGCTGCTCAGCTTCAAATGGTTTCGAAACATATCCATCCATTCCACACCTTAGGCATTCCTCATGCGTTGCCTGAATCACGTCTGCAGTCATAGCCAAAATGGGCATGTGGCAGTTTGAATTATTCTCCAAGGTCTCCACAGGGACTTCTCCTCTGTTTACAGGCAGTTCTCCTCTGCTTACACGTTCCATCTCCCGAATCCTCCTGGTAGCTTCAAACCTGTTGAAACAAGGTTTTACATTAGCAAATAATGTAAAAGTTAAATATTGTATTATCATTCATTGTAAAAGTAATAAAATTAGAGGATAGACAATCAATATTTTCAGTTTAATTACAAAGTCACATCTACTAAGAAACAGTTCTGTTGTTGCATACCCATCCATTTCTGGCATTTGAATATCCATAAAACAGGCATCAAATTGATGGGGCGGCTCCAGCATAGAGATGGCATCTTGTCCACTGTTAACACAGACCACATCAGCTCCATACTTTTTTAAAGCACCAGCTGCCACTGTTCGGTTCACACTATTGTCGTCTACAATAAGGATTTTTCTCCCACGCAAAAGATGGCGGAGAGACAAACTTGGAAGCTCCCCATTTCGAGGATTCCCCCTGTTCCCCACACCCATGGCTCGCTGTAATGTAGCAGCAAGCATGCTTGCTCTCAGAGGTTTTACAATGACAGTTGGACTATTGACACCAAATGTTATGGAACTTGTTCTGGAAGAGCTACTAGAATTAACAAGAACGAACAGATTTGGAGGAACCCTACGATCAATTTTCCTCACGTTACTGATAAACTGAGATGAAACACCAGAATCTCTATCCCAGACTTCGTGTTCAACTAAGATCATATCGACATTGCTTATGACAGACAAACCTTGATTTAAATCCGAAGCTATTTCAACATGAATGCCAAGCCGTTTAATGTGATATCTCAACACTTTAGCTCTGACAGGTTTAGGGTCTATAACAAGTGCGGTCATGCCCTGAAATTCTGAGGATGCAAGGTGAGGTTGGTTGTTAATTTGCTGAGTTTGACCCTCAGTTGAAATAGGGGATTCATTGGTGAAGACAGCAGTAAATGTGAAAGTAGATCCAATCTTTGGAAAGCTCACAAATCCAATTTCCCCGTGCATGAGGCCAACCAGGCACTTGCTGATGCTCAGCCCAATGCCTGTTCCCCCATGTTTCCTGGAGACAGACGGACCAACCTGCATGAATGGGGTAAAGATGCGGGATTGGGCTTCTTGAGGAATTCCTTCGCCTGTATCTTCAACAGATACAATGAGAGTAATGCGATCAGAGGAGGAAGATGAGAAAGAACCCAGAGGTCCTTCTTGACTGACAGAATTGAATCCTTTCCAACTTTGACATCTATCAGCAACAGGAAAGCCACTCAGGGTATTCTTTGATGTTGCAACTTCGATTGAATTGACAACTTCCTCAATAAGATGGACAGTGACAAATATGTGCCCTTTCTCTGTGAACTGCCAAAGAATTACCAAATCAGATTCCATTATGAGCTGTGAAAAAACACTTCTCACTTTAGCTGATAACTACAGTTGGCTGGAACAACGGAAAAGCAAGTTCATTTTTTAAAATATTTTATGAAATTATATTAACTGATTAGGAAATGACTATGGTAGATCTCTAAATAAATTTCATTCCACCCATTTTATCCCATGAGGAATAGGACACTTCTTTTTGAAAAAAAAAAAACCAAGGTACCAGAATAACTTTACATTATAACAGGGAAGCAATTTTCTGCAAAACAAAAAATGCGAAGAAGTTTGATAAAATCTAATGATGCATATTTTCTTCTCTCTATAAATTTTCTTTTGGTACAGCCAAGACATACCTTAATTGAATTGCCCATGAGATTTGTAATTATTTGCCGAAACCTTCCTGGATCACCCACAAGCTGTTCAGGAACCTTATCTGAGACATACGCTGCCAACTGTTCTTCCAAAAAAAAGAAATCAGGAAGAGCTGACTAACAACGTGAAGAAAGTTCAACCACAGAAAGCCAAAAAAAAAAAAAAGATTATTACCTCTACTCCCTTCTCTTGAGATTTCTCAGAGAATAGTGACAACACATCATCCAAAACTGCTCGTATGTCAAATAGCACTGCCTCAAGCTCAAGCTTACCAGATTCAATCTTTGCCTGGTCCAAAACCTCATTTATAAGCGACACTAGAGCTCTTCCACTACCCTGTGCAGTTCTGACATATTCTTTCTGTGTTACATCTAGATCTGTGTCCATAAGCAAGTGCAACATTCCTGGATGTTCAATTTTAGAGTGAGGTCAGTACTCGAATCAGAAGCTTCAATTTGTCTGATGTTCATTTGGAACCTTGGCAATTTAAGACAAGTCTAAGAAAGAGTTTTTAGCTACTTACCAAGAACACCATTCATTGGCGTTCGGATCTCATGAGAAACGGTGGCCAGAAACTGCAGCATCAATATTTGGTTAGTCCTCCTCAAACAGTACAAATATGAAGCCTTGAGTTGTTACAAAGAAAATGGGATCACAAACCTGGGATTTTGCAACATCAGCTGCCTCGGCTCGTTTTTTAAGTTCCATCATCTCACGGTAATCATCCTCCACCTTAGCAATTCGATTCACAGTAGCATGAAAAATATGACCTACAAGGAGCGCAATAACAAGGATGCCAATTGATGTGGCTATTGCCAACCAGGGCCATGGAGGTTTCTGTTTGAACCTGTGCCAGAATCCATAGTTCATATATTTAGATGACTTCCACATTTCAATTATTGCAATAAACAAATAAGTTAGACATTGAGACTAGCAAACCCTGAAAAAAAGGGAACAGCAAAATTAAAAAAAAAAAACAACACACACACAGTTTGGTAGTGCTAATGGCAAAACCTCATGAGACTCAAGAATCTCACATCATCTTATGTGGGTTAATCTCGTCACACTGGATATAATTTTTTTAAATTCTAAAGAAGCATCATCATGCTAAAAACTATGCCTGAGAGCAAGAAGTTATAAAGACATCAGACTCCTTGTGCATCGTATCCGTTACCTGCAGTGCATCTCATGCTTCCGAAAAGGATCTCCAAAGTTCAGGGAACTAACATGATAGAATCCATCATCTGATACGTTTGAACCATACATTGGAATAGGGTGGGTATGATTAGTAGTATCATACACATTAACAATCACAGTTTGCTTGCTAGCTAGTTGTTGAAGTAATTTTTCAACCAATGACTCAATATCAAAGACGCCACCAAGATACCTGCAAAACAGTGGCTAAACGTTAAAGCTCTCCCTAACATAAACAGCATGCATGAATTGTGTATTCACTGAATTTTAAAGCAAAAATAAGTCACCCAGCAAAGCAGCTTAGTTACTTCAGAACTAAACTTACCAATGAAAATAAGCTATGTTGATGTTCAAAAATTTAACAACGTCAGATCCCAATAAGTTCTTAAATTCACACGTACCCATTTGTTGCTTGAATCCTTTCATTTGGGGTTGCATTTGATGGAAGATCTGTGTTGTAAACTGCAAAGGTGAGGATAACTCCAAGATGATTTGTTTTGAGCAGCCTAAAAGGAGCAGTTAAAACTCCTTTCCCTAACTCTCTAGCACGCAAAACATTTTCACGATCTTCCTGTTCATGACGAAGCCAGTAAGACTCATAACTCAAAATGTAGTCGACATAGATGTAATTGAAAAAAGGAGTAGCTGAGTGAAATTCACGAAAACAGAGATTATTCATGCATATTATTATTTTCCAAAAAAGTAGTCCCACTGAAATAAGCAATACCAAAAGAAAATGAGCCCTGGCAAAATGGGAGGGAGCATTAAACGTGGAATGGTTTAAGTGTACTTTTGACACGTAAAAACACAAATTTAACAAACGCTTCAGAAACATTATCAGAGAAGATGCAAAAGAAACCCACCTTTCCGGACAGCACATCAACAGAAATGACATGGGAAATGGTTTCCTGTGCAAAAACGACAGGAGCATATTCTTCTCGAACTGGGGAAGGCTCCAATGCCTCAGGGGCATAGTCATCCTCATGAATGGGGTTCTGCTCAAGGGTATCCATCCTCTTAATGGTCCAACCTTGTTGCTTCTCGAATTGTTCCCTTTCAGAATGAAGCACCCTCACAGCATAAGCAACACCACTAGTAAGGGGCCTCTCAAAAGCAGTTCGCTCTGTGTACCTAGCAAATGTTCTCTGTGGGTTTTTAAAGTTAGAGTTTAGAATGATTTCCTCACAAAGACAAAGAAAAACACCAGATCTTACCCCGGCTTACGCTCAATTAACCATGTTAATCACTGGTAGTGAACTGGGAGATAGTGAATTGAGATCTAGTTACCTGATCGATGGCAGAAGGGGACTTGGCATGGTGGAAGGTTGAGATGAGTATTGACATGGCTTGGATATGGTTCATACTAACATTAAACTGATCCTGAAGCATCCTAGCCCTTTCATCACACATGCTTGCCAGAGTCTCTTTCCTCTTCTCAGTAGCTTGCAAGGTCATGAAGAGGAAGATCCAAAAAGATACCACGACCCAGCCCAGTACCCATATCAGCAAAAGCTTTCTCCACAGAGTTCTCCGAACTTTCTTGGACCCAATACACTGGTAGTAGTGTTGATGAATTTTACGACTATTGCCTGAGATCTTATCCCACCACTTGAGCCACATCTTGCCGCCGCCACCAAGAAAACCAACCTCGGTTTCCATAATTCCTCCGTTGTTGAACCAGTTCATGTATATGATTGATACAATCCAGCAACACAGCGCCAAAAGTAGATGCCCCAACTTTAGGCCAAATCCAACTACATAGAGCAAACTCATCCACAACAGTAACCAACACAAGGTAACAAGAAACAGTTCCAGGAGGCACTGGATACGACTTCGAGCTAATTCCAGGTAGTCTAGCGAGAGAACCACTGTCAAATCCAGAGAATCTAGCCCGTTTAAAGCTAGTAAACAGAATTCTCGACCAGTGACTGCGAGAGGTGGATATCGAAACAGGAAAATTGGGCAAGAACAACGCTAAGCACCTCTCAATCCCAGAAAACAAGTGGGTTTCAAAGGGGAAACAAAGATGTGCTTTAAAAAGATGCTGTCTTATCCACCGGAATAGACTCAAATTGAGAATGCAAAGGGAATACAGAAATTTGAGGCAGATAAGAAACTCAAATAGCCCTTAAAGAATCAAAGAATCGCCCAAGATTCTGAGTTTCTAATTCTAAACAGAAATTGATGTTATCCTGTCAGCTACCAACCAAGACGCAGAACAGAAAAAAGAGGCCAGAAGTTACCCATAAAGATTCTATCGTAGTAATCAAATCTGAAATTATCATCACAAAACGAGAGAAATCTAGCTTCCTCAAATTCCTAAACCCAACAGAAGCTCCCGATTGCTGAAGGTTTTACTGAACCACCGGTAAGCAACCCAGTAAGGATTTACGCAAAGTAGCACTAGAAAGATCAAAGAGCACCGTGTGATAGCTGATGTGAGGGAAAATGAAGCTAAAAGCAACCAATTCACGGACATGTAAAGAGGAAGTGAGTCTACGAGAGAAGTTTGGGTAGAACTAGAAGAACATGGTGGTAAAATAGATTTGTTGCAAAGGCCATTATCTGTATTCAAACTCTCCACTTAAAAAAGTAAATAACAATAAGGAATGATAGGGTCATAAGTAATATTTTAACCATCGATGATGATCGATGATTGATAATAAATAAATAAAAATTACATTTAAAACAACAAATGGTTGAGAAATTGCAAAATTTATTATTCAAATGTACCTTAACCTGTTTACTAAAACCATCCTGTAAATCTTTTTCAACTATACATTACGATTCTTAATATAAAACTCCGTTTAATTTTTAGTTTGGTCCTAATTATAAGATTCCAATCCATTTTGTCTCTCATATTTATGTTTTTTTTTCAAGATAGTATTTCTAATAATGATAGTTCTAGCCAATACACTTAATTAGTAAGGATATTTTAGGAATGACAACACTTATTTATTACAAATAACTAACTTAACTTACTTTCTTTAATCTCTTCAAATTAGTCAACTATGTCTTATAATTAGGACTGGAGGTAGTATAATTTATCTTTAACCATATAGAAAACAAAAAATATTCTATAAATCATAAAATCTAACACAATTGACATTTAGCTGATTTTTTTAAATATTTAGTTTGGAATTCGATTTCTAACGAAGTGTATAGAAAGGATTTCGTGACCAGCATTAAAATCTCCGCAAAAAATTTATAATATGAGAGGATTAATCACTATAATTGGTAATGAATACCTTAGATCCAACCCAAAAAAAAAATAAGTGACACATATTTAAATACCTATGGGTAATAAATTTGAGAACAGAAGGATTTCCAGCAACTTTTTTTTTTGTTGAAAAATAAGTGAAATAAATTAGGGGGGCAAAAAAGGTATAGTGGCGCACAGCAGAAATGAGTGCTTTTCTCAACTTTCCTTTGTGTTCACATCCCTATCCATCCAGTGCCAGAAGACAACTCCCACACGCTAAGTCGTTAACCCGATGCGTTCGTGTGTATGGGCTGTATTTTTCAGTGGACAAAAGTACCCTTTGCATGAACCCAAAATTACGGGAATAAACACCCCACTTCCGGGTGGAATGGCATCAGATACCCCGTACTTTTCCAATATTGCCATGTGAGGACCAAGAGTCAAAAGAGTAGGTAAAGAAGCTCAAGCACGCATGATTGTAACCTCTCAAGGTGTTATTTATCTTTTCCTTTCTTCTTTTTTTTTATTTTTTTTATTTTTTTGTTTTTTCCCTTTTCCTCCTTGGAATCTTTACCACTGTTCAAGCTCTCCTGGCCTTCTCCTCCGTCCATTGAACATTCCTCACTAGCAGAATTAACAATTAATTGCTTAAGGTGATAAGCTGAAGATGGTGATGATAATGGAGATTCAACTAACACTTGTTCGTGAAGCGTGAGGAGATAGGGAAGTCTGCCAACTTTTCTCTTCTTTTGGTTTTATAATATCACCTCAAACCCTAGTGCCAGTTGGCTTTCAGTTGATAAGATCATATTCATCATTGCTTTATAACATGAGTTTCGTAGTCAATATGAACAGCTTATTTTTTTGTAAGTGGGAAGTTACAGGATTTAAAATTTCCTTGTAATATCAAACAGTTAGTGTTTGTCCTCCTAATTTGAAAAAAATATTAAACTTCAATCAATTTAGATCAAATAGAGTACAGATGAATCTAGTAAAATAGGTTAGTCTCTCATAACGTGACAAATTAAAGTTTAAATCCTCATTAAAAAAGATGTTTATATTTAGTATTCAATAGTACTTTGAATATAATTGCAGAACAAATTTACAAAATAAAACTTACGCGAGACGCCATACCACCCCTTTAAGAGTAGCCATGGGCATTCATCTGTCATCAAACATAATAAAGCCTCAAGTTATAAGAATGACAAAGCTTTTTTCAACAAGTCTTTAACCAATTTCATGCTACAATTAGAAGTATACCACTTAGTCATAACAAATGGAAGGTTTCACCTTTCACATCAGATATCTCTAAAAGAAGAGATCTTGTATACTCAGTCTGGGACATTACAATTATATTTGCACTGTGCTCGACCATTCAGTGCACAGGGATCTTCTTGCTAAGGAGGCACATCACCTTAATGAAGACATGATTATCTTCCATAAGACCTATTTAAAATAATTTATAAAAAGTTTGTGATATATAAAATACGATATAGGTACATGAGAAAAAAGTTTTGTCTCAATTTACTGAAATGTATTTATAACTGCATTTGAATACTATCCCAAACAAGCCCATAATTTCCCTTGGAGTGATATAGTTATCCTGTTGCTTTTTGTTCATTAGTTGTAATTTTCAAGATTAAACTCTGTCATTTAGATTAAAAAAATTGATAATTAAATCCTTTAAGAGAATTAATTCACCTAAATATTTTATTTTTCTTTTATACCCAGGAATAAAAAAATGTTTACCAAGGAGGAGGCAGGAAGAAACAGCCATTGGACAAGGAATTCGGAGGTGTGGGCGTAAATTGAGGGGAGGTAAGAGGCCAAAATGGTAATCCCATAAAGGAGTTAAGACGAAAGTGGTTGAGCAGCATCTAGTTCCAGAACTGTAATTTCACCAAAAGGAAAGGGGCAAAGATGGAAAGGGGTACTTTAATCGAGAGAGGGGGCTTTCACGAAGGAAGTGATTAGGCCATCACTACCCACTTCTTTTTGGTGTGCTGTTGTGTGGGGAAGCTCTTCGTGAAAGCGACGTCCCACGTCAGCTCACCAGTTCCGCACGTCGGCCAATCAAATTGTCCAACGTGTAACACGCATAGTAGGGGAGGGTGTGTTTGGCCACGAATCTGGGATGCTCCAGAGGATGGATAAACTAAAGCCTCTGAGACTGTCTCTTTCCTACGTGTACCAAGAAGGAAATGTTGTTTAAAAAAAAAAAAAGAGTGAAAAGTAGCATTCATCGTTTTTTTTTGGGTACCACCGCCTCTTGTTTTAAATATTATTTTTCTTAAAATATATTTATTTTAAATTTATATTGGCTAAAATTATCATTATTACAAAAACTATTTTAAAAAAATAAATAAATATAAAAGATAAAGTGAATTGAAATATTATATTTAGATCAAAATAAAAATCAAATAACGTCATATTTTTCAAGTGCATTAACCAAATTAATTTTATTTATAATGTATATAATATTTTGATGTTATTTTTTTAGTAAGTCTAGTGCTCAATATTATCTTTTAGTTACATCTAGCACTTTTAAGAAAATAATATCAAAACATTAAATACATTAATAAATAAAATTATTGTACTGCCTGAAAGATACAATCAAAATGTTGTATGCTCCTTTGTTGGGTTTCAATAGGTGGGTATGGTTCCCGCTTGATAATGCCATTATAACTTGACACGAAGTGCTCTCTCCTTCTGCTTTTAACATGCCTCGTTGAAACTGCCAAACTTTTGGGATTATCTTCGTCTTTGTCCCAAGTACTTCACGCCCATCCAAACATCCCCAACCTCTAGAAATTTTTAATAATTACTCAATTATATTTGTACTACTTTATAGTAGACATTTATATTTTATTGCTTTTATAAATTTATTTCTGTTATGCGAACAAATGAGCAAGAGTCCAAAATTACATAAAAGCATAGGCGTATACCTTGTGAACGCAATAATTGGCATTCGGCTAGGGGTGGGATCATGGTATTAAATTCTAATTTAAATCAATTTCTTAGCCTATTTGGTGAAGAGCTTGGACCGAGTTGGTTGGATTGGATTTTCTTTTTCTTTTTTTCTCATTGCTTAAAATGATATTGTTTTGAATTAGAAAAAATAGTATTCCCTATATTTGTTTTTTAATTATTTGTTTTATTGAATTATGTGTAAATGTATCAAATTGGTGGGTTAGATGAGTTTATGTTTCATAAATATATTTGCCCTTTAATAATATAAGTGTTTCCTGAAATTTAAACTTATGTTCTCTTCTTAGAAACATAATCACTTACCATCTCAACTATCAGCTTGTTGGTTAGGTTAGATGAGTTTATTAAATATAGTTCATCTTATTTTGACAAAGTCTATATTATTATTTTTTTTAAAAAAAAAACTACTCCCTATCCCTAATATGTTAGGTGGGGTGTTGAATTAGGTGATAAATATAGTACCTTATTTTCCTTTTTGTCTTATATTTATTATTATTTTCAAACTAATTTACATAATTTATAAATTGATATGTAATATCATGTTACGCAAAGATATTTCAAAGAAATTGGGTCACATTTTGTTATAACTGATTAATTTATGTGACTTTCTTAATCCACACAACTTAATTCAATAGCTTTATACTCCTCCGGTCCTTAATATAAGACCCATTTAACTAATTTGATTAAATTAAGGAAGTTAGGTAAGTTAGTTAATTATAAGAAATGTGACACGTTTTTCCTAAAACACCATAATCATCTTTCTTAATACCCTCTCTCCCCTTTCTACTTGATTATAGTTGAGGGAGTATTCATAGGGATAATTTAGAGAACATTGATAAATATGAGAAATGGGTCTTATATTTAGGACCAAAACCAACTCAACAATTGGGTCCTATATTAAGGACCGGAGGAGTATTAAGCAATGGAGGGATCACTTAATTTTGGTTAATATTTAATTATTTTATCTTTAATGCTTTTCTTCACAATCATTTCAAGCTTAATGCTTAAAGTACCATTATTGTAACTTGGCGTGCTTATAAATGGTGTTTTAGGTATCAATGTCATTTTTTTTTTTTGCTATTATTATTGTTGTTGTTATTTTTCAACAGAATCATTATCATTATAATTTAAAGCATGATACTTAATGGTTGGTTAAGCAAAATCAAATTAAGATATTAACAATTTGGCGTATTTTAAATACAATTATATTCCATGTTGTCTATTATTATTGTTGGCATTATACTTACGAACGAGATTTTTTTTTTTTGTATCTCAATTGTCCAAAACATTAATTATAGTCTGGTTTTACACTCATCCTTGAGGGCTTAATTT